TGACATGTTACAACTGAAATTAAATTATTCATAAATTTAGATGCATAAATGACTAAATTTTTTTTTATATGTATGTAAAAGTAAATAGACTGTGTGAGAAGTATGCATTTATCACAATTCTTTTTTTTCAGACTGTTTTTTTAAGGACCTTTCTACCTAAACAGAAATGTATGAATGTCTACCTCACTGTTTCAATCACTCAACACCCAACCATCAAAGTGGATATGGTCTTCAAAGAGAAAAACAGTGGATATGATCTTCAGGGACAAAACAGCTCCCAAAAGAAGTCACTCTTGTTTAACTGGGATGATTTTTAGCTCACCTACCTGAGCCGATGGCTCAAGTGAGCTTTTTTGATCATATTTTGTCCGTCATCCATCCGTCTGTAAACTTTTCACATTTTTGACTTCTTCTCAAGAACCAATGGGCCAATTTAAACAAACTTAGTACAAAGCATCATTTGGTAAAGAGTAGTTTAAATTGTTAAAATGAAGGGCCAAGTCCCCTTACAAGGGTAGATAATCAAGAAAAGACAAAAATATGGTGGGGTAATCAAAAAATCTTCTTCTCAAAAACCACTGGGCCAGGAAAGCTGAAACTTATGTGGAAGCATCCTTGGGTGGTGTAGATATTAAATTGATAAAATCTTGACCCCCAGGGGTAGAACGGGCCACAATAGGAATTCAAGTTTCACATAGAAATATATATAACAAATCTTTAAAAATCTTCTTCTCAAGAACCACTGGGCCAGGAAAGCTGAAACTTAAGTGGAATCATCCGTTGGTAGAGTAGATATTAAATTGTTAAAATCATGACCCCCGGGTCAGGGCGGGGCCACAATAGGGAATCCAATTTTTACACAGATATATTTAGGAAAAAATCTTTTAAGAATCTTCTTTTCAAAAACTACTGTGCTAGGAAAGCTGAAACTTATGTGGAAGCATCCTGCATGGTGTAGTGTAGATTCTAAAGTATTAAAATCATGAAAGGGAAGGGGATAGGGGGCACGATAGTAGTGCTGTGTGATATTACCGGTTAACCGGTGTATCCCGATTTCGTTCTTCACAATACGTACCGCGGTATTTTTTTGTGAATACCGGTTCAGGTTCGATATGCTATAAATTGTTACAAAAAGAGTTATTTGCCCTTTTCAAGGTAAAATATGGCGGCAAGCGACGTGAAGTGTGCTCAGAAACCAGAGACATGTCTCTTTCAAAAACGAAACGACGACAACTGTTATATTAAACCTCTTTGTGTTAAAGCTGAATCTGAGTACAATTAATTGAATTCAACAAGTTGTGCCAACAAAAAAACGTATCTTGCCGCTTGCGTCGACATAACGCGATCAGGCAATTGAAATATCAACTCGAGAATACATGTAATTTGAGTTTGTGTTTTCATTAAACCTTCACGAAAAGCAAAAAATTATTTAATATTTATATCGTGATATATTGCAATACAAAATATAATATTGCAATATATCGCGATACGATTTTTCCGTCGCGATACCCAGCACTACACGATAGGTATAGCAAGAGGGGAAATCTGGTAAAGAGTTGCATCACCCAAGTTACTCAGGTGAGCGATGTGGCCCATGGGCCTGTTGTTTCACATGTATCATTGTTTTACACATACATATTTTTAAGTAGAAGTAAATGTTATTCAACATATTTTTTCTTTTAATTTGAATACATGTAGAGGCAACTGATAAAATGATCACATCAGTGTTTCATTGTGCTGTTATATTTATGTATCAATCATATCAAGTTTGATACCTGAAATCCAGAAAAAGCACCCTAAGTGTGTATTTGTTTTTAAATGTTTATCATTAGTATTATACAAGTCCATCATACCTTTGCTCCCATACAGAGATTATGTATTTTACTTTGAAATGTCATGAAGATTCAACTTGAGATAAATTTCTGCTCTTTACTGAATCAAATTGAATGTGGACAAAATACAAAAGTACATGTACAGAAAAACCCCTCACCTTCTTTTAGTTGTGGACAATGTTGACATGAGCAAATTTGTGCTGTCCCCCTTTTTATGAAGTTTGATTGATTGTACTGTATTACTTTTAATTACAATAAGCTCTAACTATTTTTTAAAAAAAATTTTTTTGAAACACTGACTCAGAGGTTTTTAGAGCAACAAGCAAATTCAAGGAATTGTGGTCCCCCGCTTTCAGTGTCTCTGTGGGTGAGATGTCATTTTTATGACATATTGTGTGTAATATGAACACTCTATCATATGTCATTTATTAAGAAAAAATCACTGAAATCCAAGGTCAAGGTCAAAGGGTTAAAGTTCTTGGTATCCAACGAAAAGTCTTCTCACAAGGATTACATATGTGAAGTATGAAAGCCCTGGCCCTTAATGATCAAAAGTTATGGTCAAGGTTAAAGGTTTTTAATAATTACAAAAATCTCCAAGGTTAAGGTCAAAAGGTCAAAGTTGTTGATATCAAATGGAAGGACTTGCCACAAGAATACATATGTGAAAAATGAAAGTCCTAGTATCTACTGTTCAAAAGTTGTGGCCAAGGTCAAAGTTTTTTAAAAGAAGGTTAAATTCCAGGTCAAAGTTCTTGGTATCCAATGAAAGGTCCTCTCACGAGAATTAAATATATGAAGTATGAAAGCCCTAGCCCTTACCGTTCAAAAGTTATGGTCAAGGTTAAGGTTTTTTCATAAGTAGGTAAATCTCCAAGGTCAAGGTCAAAGTTCTTGGTATCCAATAAAAGTCCTTGTCACAAAAAAGATATATGTGTAATATGAAAGTCCTAATATCTACCAATCGGAACTTATAGCCAAAGTAAAAGTTTGGAATTTTTGTGTAAAAGTGGGTCAAACTCCAAGGTCAAGGTCAAATTTGGTGGTGCCCAAAGAAAGGTCTTGTCACAAGGAATACACATGTGAAATATGAAAGTCATAGCTCTACTAAATCAAAAGTTATGGGCAAGGTTAAAGTTTTTATGACAGACGGACAGACGAATGAGAAAGCGGGGGACAATAATCAGGCACTAAGCAATTTTAAAAGTATGTATGTAAAGGGGGAGGGCATAGCAAGTAAAAATAAAAAAAATACCAAAAACTTTGACAAGCATAAGTCGGATTGGAGACAGACATTTGTACATGTTTTTTCAACAGAAAAAATGAATGCAATACCATGGAGTGGTTCGATGTTACTGCAACGGAAAGTGGATGTGGGTGGTGACTGCATTTTAAAACTAAGAAGTAAAGAATTCTGAATATCCTCACCCCTCCAATGTAATAAAGGTGCATGATAACATTGACACTAAAAAATGTCTTTACGTTCATGTAAATTTTATTTTCTGTCGACGCATTCATGTTACATGGAAACAAGCGTGTACTGCTCACTGGGACCGACTTTTTGAGAAGTTTTGATGAATCAAGATTTATATAAAATGAAGACCGATATAAATGCAGGTACAGAATAGAGTTATACATACAGTTATAGAGGAATGGAGTGGGGGTCCGAGCATAACCATTCACTGCAGGCGCAGATCCAGAATTTTTTTTTCCAAGGGGGGGGGGGGGGGGGTCCACCCCAGTCAAAAAAAAAATCCAATCCCAGAAATTGCTTGACAAGCCAAAAAGAAAACCTAAACTCACCCAAACGTCAAAAACCTATTTATTGCCTCATATCTTTCACTTTTCGTACTCATTTCACACAACATATTCGCGTTTACCAGGGGTGGGGGTGGTGTCAGCGTTTTCCAAGGAGGTCCATGGTAACTTTTTTCTTGCTTAATATATACATTTTTTAACCTTGTAAATTCCAGCGATAATTATTATACACAATGATTATCTCTCTCTCTCTCTTTCACTCTCTCTTTTTTTTGGGGGGGGGGGTGTATTGTGAAAAAAAATCTGACTGCCTGCTTATATTTTATATAACAATATTACGTTCCTGTTTTTCGTAGCTGCAGAACTGTAGCTCTCCGAAAAAATAATTTGACAGACCGTTCTATCAAGAATATATTTTTTTGGAGAGCTACAGTTCTGCAGCTATGTTTATCGATGCTGAAATTGCAAACTGAATTTTGATTTAATTAATTTGTTTACTTTCTCATTTATTTCGTTGATATTTAACCCCAATTCTAAAATCGGGCGTATTAAAAATAATCGTCTTCATTCGTGTTATTAGATAAAAAAAAGGAGGGGTGGGGAAAAGAAAAGAAAGATAAAACGGTAAAAAAAGAATTATATTTTTAAGCAGTTTAATCATTATGTATAATAAATTCTTGACCAATTTCTATGTTCTACAATATAATCGGCGTCAATATGTAAAGTTTTGAATTTTATTTACCGAAATAAATCAGTAAATAAACAGGCTGTTTGCATAAAGCTAGTTAATGATGGACGTAATATTTTTGTCTGAACTACAAATATGATTTTGTACTTAGCACATACAGTGACTTAGATAACTCGTTTTTTTTTCTTAGACATTAATCATCTCGCGTGTACATGGTGTATAAACCATGATAAACAGGGTAAATTAAATATTTAGATTAAAAAAAAATAGATATATTAAAACAGAGGATCGCTAATGTTTGCATTTATTTTCATGTATCAATAGAATTTTACTCGCATAATCTATATACAATATAATATTTTAGATCTAGCATTCTCTCAATTTTACCGCGCCTTATTTAACTGTGACGTCACGCAGTCAACCACGGTTGAACGAGGTCATATCAAAAGGCCTGTGGCAGCGATGATATGGAGTTGTAGCGTAACGTAATACTGAGCTGTCTGGAGCTTGTAAGAAAATGCAGCTTGTAAAATCTAAGTCAAATTTAGACAGAATCCGGAATAATGTACTCCCACTATTTTAACATAGTTAATGAAAAATAAGTATTTTTAAAAGTTTTATTGTTTTTTTTTACTTCATTGTTTCTAAAAAATATATTTTAAATTCATTATCATGATTAAAGGAATGCGATTTATATAGGCCTTGGCTGTGATGTGAGTGCTGGTTCTCATGTCAACAAGGGAAGAGTACTAGTTAATCGTCATGTCGTTATCATCACAAGCAAAGTAGAAGGCAGGAAAACTGCATATCGCGCCTACTCATATATGGTCGGCCGCATTATGTGATCACGTTTAATAAGAACTTATGGTGTAATTTATTATAGATAAGTCATGTCGCGCTTAAAGGGAATTTTGTTCTCCTTTTTAATGTTGTATAGCAGCACTTTTGGTGCAATCTTTTTCCTAACTCCTCTCATTCCTCTGGTTTTCTTTCAACCAAAAGTAGGACGACAAATGATGGATCAAATGATTTGGATTTGGCAAATTTATGCCGTGGTAAGTTTTTTGTGCTTCGTGACAATGATAGTCAACAGCTGGAAAATAATTATTTAGTCCTATTTTGTGACATCAAGACATCCTGTTAAATGAAGCCTTATTATCTGATTATATGAGAGTATAGACTAGTATTCTGTATGAAACTACATGTTAGAGTAGGAATAACAGTGTAGCATTAGTCAAGAATTCATTACTTATTAAAGAAGGAATATTTCTTTTAAAATTATTTTATTAAATTAAATTTTTGTGCATGTTTGTTCTCTGTCATAGTTTTTGATTGAGAAACTGTGTGGGGTGAAGGTCGTGATCACAGGAGAACCAGTAGGATGTGACGATAGCACCATCATTCTGATGAACCACAGGACACGCTTTGATTGGCTGTTTATCTTTTCTTATATTCTGAGACACGGACCTCTACGTAGATTTAAGATCAGCATGAAAGATGTCCTTAAATATGTTCCAGGGCCTGGTAATATTATATCCTTGGCATATTGTATATTTCTAGCTTATTCCTTTCTAAAGCAACTGTAACAACATCTGTCAGCTGTTTATCGCTTGCAGATTGTGACAATCTGTTATGAATTTTTAAATGTCGACTATATCATTTTAGGTTGGGCAATGCAGTGTGCTGGTTACCTCTTTCTGCAGAGAAAATGGGAGGCAGATAAAAAGATTATACTGAGATGCCTAACTTACTTTAGGAAGCTTGGATACAAACCTCAGGTAAATCTTAATCCATTAGAAATCGAGAAACTTAAAAAAGTTAAAAAGCATGTTGTCTTTTCTTCTTTGAAGATTCCTTTAGGTTGCCTATTAGATTGATGTCAGAGATCATGGAGATATTTGTCTTTATATGCATACCAGGAAGTGTTATATAATGTAGCCTTATTTTACAAAAGGTCCATTTTGGTCTAAATTGCAAAATATTTAGTTTACTGTTGTGCAGCATATTTGCATAGTTGCTATAGTTAAAAGTGATACATGTACCCGGTATGTGGATTTTCATAATTAGATACCATCATTTTTTTTAATTGATGCATTAATTTCTTATTTGATGACAGATTCTCTTTTTCCCCGAGGGAACAGATTTAACTGCCAACACAAAAGCTAGGAGTAACAGATTTGCAGAGAAGAACAACTTGGAGCCCTATGAATATGTTCTCCATCCCAGAACTGCTGGCTTCTCATTTCTAGTGGAAAAAATGAGAGAAGGTAACAAAGCTGTGGAAAACTTTTTCAGATAGCCAGTCATTGGGACTGGCAAGAAAACAAAACAAGCCGGTCCGAAGTGATTTTTGTTGGTCAAAAATAGTAAGTCGCAAAAATAAAAAAAAAAAGAAAAGCATAACATTTATTAAATTCGTTACACTTCTACTTACTGAGTACATGTAAAAATACAACATTCAGTCTCGATTTCCAATTCCTCTTCCGTTTTTGTTTTATTTTGCATTTAAATCAAATTAAACAATACTAGATTTCACCGCTTTTGGGCAGGTGTTAGTACTAATTCAGCATAGTGCACATAAAAACATTTATGCATTTTGGAATTATATTAACCTAGAAAATGGGTCTAAAAAATTGCAAAAACTCTGTGCTTCGATAAAAAAGATACCAACATGATCGATGAAATTATAGTTTTAATATTTTTCGTTTATACACAACAAGATTGCCACTTTTCCTCATTATTAAGAATATAAATAAAAATTTGTGAAAGTGCAATGTGTCAATCAAACCTATCTAAAAATTTGAAGTTTTTAATAACTTTTAGATGAAATAAGATTTTTAATATATACTTTTGTGTGAAATGCTATTAAAATATATAAGATGTTGTGTTATACAGAAAATATTAACTTCAGATCTCTGTCCATGCACTTTTAAGAAAATAAGTCAGCACCCACATTAGTAACCAAACACATGACCCATAAATTGTCAATCAATGTGCTGTTGATTGTACAGCAAAACTATCAAGCACTGGTGAAGTAGAAGTTTGATAACGGAAAATTGCTAGCTCTCCTTTTTTATACCCCCCACTTGAAAAGTGGGAGGGTATATAGTGACCAGGGTGTCTGTCCGTCTGATATACTTTGGGGTACCCATCTCTTATCTGCAACTTTTCCTTTACCACAGAATGAAATTTATTGATACTTTCACAGATTCTTTACTACATGATGTCTTTGTTCACCTCCTATTTTATTTTTGATCTGATACTTATTTTGGGTCTCTCAGAGCAAAATGTGGACTTTGCCATTATAATCAGGGAGACAAGTCCTCTCCTAAAAATATCAGATTCAAAATTGGAGAGGGCTACACAATTGCAGCTAGAAAATTGCTTGTCAAATGAAAAAAGAAAGTGTCATCTCATGTCTAAGTAAGCTGAAAATTTTATAGTCTTATGAATAAACAAATTTATTAGTGCTGTGTTGTTTTATAAGGCTGTAGCATTGTTAATTATACAAAAGCTGAAGATGGGCATTTATAATGCACAACCAGGTTAGAAAATTAAAAAGTAAAAAAATTCCAAAAGCAATGTTGTTTTGTCAAGAATATAAACTGGTTACATGAGCCATCATGAAAATATTTTTTCTTAAAGTGCTTGATCTGAGATTCTGCAAGATTCCAGAATAATTATTATATCAGAGATTTTTTAATATGTTTGAAGGAGCAGGTGTTAATTAAATTGTCATATTTAGGGTTGGAGTGTTGATTTTGGCATGTACTATGCCAAAATAGTCAGCCCTTGGTCTGAGTCAAACCCTGACTACTAATTAAGCACAACAATATTACTAGTATATATAATCCTCAGTGATCTTGTTATTATTATATGTACATGTTTATCTGTTTTAGTGATTACTCTGGATTCTATTCTGGACGTCACCTTAGGATACCCAGAAAACATTCCACAGAATGAAATGGACATCCTGGAAGGGAAGTTCCCTCGACAAGTTCACTTTCATGTTGAGGCCCACCAGGAGGCCGAGTTACCCAGGGACAGGGAGGGGGTGGAGAGGTGGTGTCAGGAATGCTGGCAAAGGAAGGAAAAAAAGCTGGAGGAATATTACACCAAAACCAAAGTGTTCAGCAATAAGCCAATCCAAACCTGTGTTAGGGACGAACAAGAGGTAGAACACTTGTTCAAGTTTGCCTGTTTGTTCTGGACTGTGTTTGAGATTTGTGTTATAGTGTTCTTGATATATGCTCCTGTTCTCAGGTGGTTCTCTTTATTCTCTATCATCACATATTTGTTGATTAGTAAATATGGTGGAATTGATGCATTATTAGACAGCGAGGCATCAGATTTGTGTAAATGAGAAGTTTATATCATAAATTTTATCATTATACTGGTTTTGTATAGGATTTTTAAATTTTAAATATCACATGAATTTTTCTGGAGTTTGTAAGATTTGTAGATTATTTATAATGTTAATATTCTTAATTTTATCTTTTTACTTTGTTTTATTGTAAAAATTGTATATTCTTCAGAGTGTATAGAAAATGGCAGTTTTTGAAGATTTTTATATGTACAAATTTATTCAGGGTGATTGACCACATCAGTTTGACAATTTTTTTTTTCAGCCTTCAAACTTAATTTAACAGTTAAGTTTTATAATTTACCTGCTACATATGAATGCTATCACAGGCATGTAGTAGAAAAATTAATGTACCTACAGGTAATACAAATATAAAAGTTTACTTCTGACACCCAAACATTGTCATTCAAAATTAAATCCAGAATCAGCATTAGTAGCAGAATCTACCAAAGATTTTTTTTTCCAGTCTACATGTATTACCTTTAATACATTTTTAAAAAAAACTTTAATAGTTTTTGTAAACCCATTACTTACTACAGGTGTATAAATGGATGTCTTGCAGAAAACAATTTATTACAAATCAATAGCTTTAATGTTTCATTCTTAAACAAAAGCAGTGTTGTTGAAATCAAATAATAGGCATTTTTATAATTCCTCTTGATATTAACTTTTCACTACTCTGAGAGATTAGGATCTATAAAGTTGGGGAGAGTTTTGATGAGGTATAAGAAAAAAATACAGTAAATTCTACCCTCCTCTAACAAGCATTGATTCTTTTGTTCTTACTGATCAGAAAAATGCCAATTTCTTACATTTCAATTTTACAACAGATAACAATGATTTATGTTACTTCCGATTTTTTTTCATAACAAATATTCTGATATGTCATAATGTTATATCTTCTATCCAAAATAGCCTCTCTTTTTAAAGTCTTTGCTCGCTGCATAATTTCTTTCCCTTAAGTCCACTCAGCCTCAAACAAATTGACTGGATATGGAACATTTGTGATTTTCTTCAATATTATGATAGAGGATATGCAACAATTTTCATAGAGGATACGTTTCTAAAAGTTATTTTAATTGTATTATTTTTCAGGGAGTAATACTTTTTGTCCCCTTTATCTCAAACTACTTCAAAATAAACCCTTTTCAGCTATGTTACATTTTCATGTTCATTGTTAAAAGCGGGGCCCTTTGAATGGCCACCATCTCAATGATATCTAGTTTAAGTCGGATGTGAAAAGAAAGTGCAAGAGTAAGGACTATATGCAGTCCTTACATACTGGTTTATCATAATTTTCCATTATGTACCAAAGTGGCATTTTTAAGTTCACTTACATGAAGTACTATGTATTGTGACAATTAACCAAAGTTATGGCTTTATTTAGTTTCTATATACATTGTACATTTTATTTTGCATGTTCTCCTCACAAATAATGATCAGGAGCACATTGTTACTGAATTTTTTTTAATTTTAATCTCTATCAACATGTCTCAGGCACAATGTGATTTACATATCGGATCCTACTGACATTTGTGTTCTCCATTTGTGTGGATGTTGGTATGAATGATAAAACTGTTTTTCCAACACTTTCCCTACCTGTCTGACACATAATTGCATCTTCAAAACTTTATATATAGTGAATTCGAAATAAATTGATACCTTTTGGTAGTAATTTTCATGTTCAATATTTTGTCTTTGTCTAGGTTTGTTACTGTTTCCTTATTTAATGTCCCTTTGTCAGTTTGAAATAATTCACTCATATCGAGATGCCACCACTAGACAGCGGAGGGCTGCAAATTTAGACCTGTACTTGGCACTTACCACCTGTAAGCAGTGAGGGATCTTTTTTGTGCCAGCCATTCCTTCATTTCCATGGTAACTGTAGGCCCTACCTCGACCAAACTTGCATGGATAAAGTGTCTAGGCATGTACTCTACCAGACTCACTTCTGATCCTTAATCTGACTTACCGGTATATTTTCTATATGAGTGACCAAAGTAATGTTTGTAACAATATGACCTGTTGATAATTAAACTTGAATGGATTATGCAACCAGGGATAAACACTACTAGATTTGCCGGGGATGCTGGATATTTTCTGGATGAATGAACAGGTTAATTTTTGGAACAGGTCCATTCACAGGTAATTATAAGTTTTTTTTCTGATCTAGATTTACATACTTTATAAATAGTTATTGTTGATGTGAACTTCATAATGTTTGTTTACCTATATTTGCATATTTATGTGGTTGTAATTCAAATGTGAAGAATTTTTTTTATTTTACATATTAAAATTTTAATATGCTTGTATTATTGCCTTCTTAAAAGATTTTTTACCTGTATTATTTGATTTAGTTGTATCGTTAATTTAAAGTGATGGTTTTGGATCAATGATTAAATAAGTTGTGTGAATCCATTTTCTAAATAAATTATGGGTAAATTCAAGCATAAACACTAAACTAAGTGAAGTGATCTTGCCATGTATAAAATATACCTATGCAAGAGGTAAAATTTCAGGCAAAGGTGTGTTAAGTTTATGCTGACTATTTATATTAATGCAATTTATTTTAAAGGAAATTTTCTTTTTTTCCAAAAAGCCCTGGCCTCAGGACAAAAAGATCAAATTTTGGTCTGAAGAAACCTGAACAGGTACCATGTATACAAGTTTACAAATAACACAAATTTACACAATATTTGACATGAGAAAGAGATGTTATATCCTTGCATTGTTCACCAACACTATATTTCACATAGAAAATTTTGACATTTGTACCAATAGATTTACAATGCATGTAACTGTTTAAAGTGTGTCAACAATTTCAGTTATAATTGAAGGTTGTACATGCATCCCTTGGGCTATGAATCCCGAAATATTGAGTGGAATTTTACGTTTATATGAGTCACTGTCACATTACGATGGTCATTGCAGAAAATTTATTATGTACATCCTTGAAATAAGTCAACCAAAACTTGTCAACAAATTCAACAATTTTTTTTTTTGGTTATATTCTGTATGTGTCACATGTTCATGAATGATCTAATCCAATAGCCAATTGTGGTTATTTACCATGGTAGGTAGATGTAAGTTTTGCCCTGAATAGCATTATACAGCTGCCATGCTTGACTGAGGTTCATGGAATGATCAAGTGGATAAATGATAAGAAACTGTCATGGTAAGTGGGTCTTATATTTCTTTTGTAGTTTTCCTCTTCATTTCACACTATCTTTAGTTTGATTTTGTTCTGTTTAGTTTTGATAAGATTTTACTATGCAATTGTTAGAGTGTTGATATTACTAGCTTTAAGCCGACCTAAGGTCAATATTTTGACAGCTCATTCATCTCAGAAATAACCACATGTGTTATTTACAATCACAATGCCTTTAAAAATGAATGTATTCTGGTATTGGTAAGGTAATTTTTTTTTCCATTACAGTTTTTAAAAATTTTACCTCTCCTTATCTTTTCTGTGTGCACAAAACTGTAATTGGACAGAGGTGTATTGTCTTGAGTTTATGAATTAGGCCCTTTGTTTCAGGTTTAGTGTACTGGGTTTTTAAACATTTCTGTATCTAAAATTACTTCTTTTTTAATGATTGATCAGGTTTAGACAGACATAACAAGTATGTTAATGATCGTCACAAACAAGGATGGTGAATGCTGTTTGCTGTCATTTTCTGTCATTTGAATGGACTATAATAGTAGCTTTTTGGCAAATGAGGCAAGTTTACTTTTAAAATCCTTTTTGAACTATCAGATTTACTTGGTTTTATCAGAGAGTGATGCTTATTCTACATAGATATGTGTAGTGTATTGGTCTTTTAAGCTTGTTCAGGTGGTTGACACTGGAATTAAAATGACCGAAGGGTTACTGATGTGGAATACAGTGTTTAAAAGTTCACTGATTTCTTGTGCAATTATCTCTTTTGTTTGTTTTTAAGTGGCTTTATTTTGCTTTTTGATATTTGTATGTAAATGGATCAAGTGTACACCAGGATCTGAAGTAAGGCTGTATCAAGAAGGTTTTATTGATTAATAAAATACATTTTATTGTGCCTTGTGTACCAGTATTTGACTTTTGACTTTCAATTCAAGGAGTAAATGTCTTGTACTTCTGTTAATAAACTACCACAAAGGAAGCAATGTCTAGAGTGATCAAGGACATGTTTCAGTCTAAAATTTGTTTTTTGTATAAAATTCCAAATTTGAATACTGTTAATTTTGGATTACTATTTAAGGTCAGACGATACTTTCCTCGGATACTGTAGATTCCTAAATATAGGCGTGGAATTAATTATCGCGTAATTTCACGAGAAGAACAACACGCGAAATAAAATTACTCGCCTTATTTTTATGGTACTGAAATCCATGTAAAATCTCTTGATAAACCGTCCATTCGTGAATTAATATTCTCGCGATTTGACATTGAAGAGCCCATTTGCGATAATAAGTACTCGCAAAAAATAAGGAATCTACAGTATTTGTTTTGTATATCTTCATAATACATGTACATGTATATTAAAAAAAGATTTAAAATTGTAATTACCATCTGAGTTATGAACTGGTAAGATAATTTGTAAAAAAGCATTACTTCGATGACAAAATATATATATTATTTAGGAACATATCATCTGTCCTGAAAAGTAAAAGTACTTTTATAATGTTTGTATCATTTTATGAAAAAGAAACAAATTTTTCAGTTTAGATAAAGCTATTTTGAAGTGGTAAGATATGTAATAATTTGGATTGTGTTAAGTACAATTCTTAAACACTTAACAGAACATCATTAATAAAGTGATAACAAAAGATCATGGATGAAGATCATCGACAAAACCCATACCAAAGTATACACCTGGGAAGGATTCCTCTAAAAGAGACAAGGCCCAGAGTCCCGGACAGACAGGAGAGTTTCAAGAAAGGGGAGAAACTGAGGGTAGAGTTACCAGAAAATTACCTCCAGCCATTAGAAGCCAAGTCTTTAGTTCAGCTATCTAAACAGCCCGGTTCTCCACTAAAAACTCACAACATCAAAGGTAAATGTATACAACATACTAAAATATCTGTTTTTCATATTAAAGCTTTAAGAGAATTGTGGAAATATTTGTTACAATCATCATGTATGCATCACCTATTTGATTGAAGGTCACAGCAAAGGTCAATGTCACATATTTTAAAAGTTCCCCGAAAATTAACAGTTAAAGCCAGAGGCATGTTGATTTGTGCTAGCTATACCCTGGTAATTCAAAATTGTCTGTGTCCTATGTTTATCTCTGGATGAAATTCAAAATTATGACATAATTGGATACTAATATAGATGTTTCATCTCAGGTAAAATATATATAGTTTTCAGGATATTTCCACTTGGAATTCAAATTCCTATGCATTATCAATAATAAGATTTTCAAGTTGATTAAGAGTTGTCTCCCTGAACAACACAATCTAAATAGATCATTTTCTGTATGTTCACTTTATTTTCATACAAAATTTTTATTTGAGATGAAAAATAAAAGTAGATGTTTAAATACATTGTAATAATTAAAAAGAAAATAATGGTAAGCATAGATAAATACACTGAAGATAAAATGTATCTATATTGACATTGTCCATTATTTGTCATTGTCCTTGTCATTTGTTAACTAGCTTATAAAGGATTGGACTCCTCTTGAGAACCCTTTGAAAGGATTTTTTTGAGTTTGCATCCTCGTGATATCTTGTAAAGTTCCAAGTTTGGAATGAAAAAAATAAAACGTTGAAATCTACAGTTAAACCTCATTATTTCAAAGTCATATTAAAGACAAAGATAAAAAACTTCAACTATCTGAAGATTTAAGATGTAAAGGTTAAAAACCGTAAAGATGAAGTGATTGGAACTTCAACTCACTTTGAAATATCTATCTTCAAGATATCAATATTTCTGATCTGAAGTTCAAATTTAATATATGCTAAAATTTAAAATATCAGAATATTTTTTTTCTATTGACACATATTTCATAAAACTTTTAGTAGCTAAACACTTTCAGCTTCTCGAAAATCAAAGGATTTTAAACCAGTTTTAATGTTTATCAAAGCAGTTTTGGTAAATCAGAGCAATATATTTAAATATGTGAATTTTTTGCCCTTCTCTATGGTGGGCATCAGTTGGGAAAAGCAACTTTTTCTTTTTTTTTTTTTTCTTGAGGAATTAAAATAACCAAGGCAAAAGAAAGCAGTAGAGCTACTTGAAAATGGAAGTGTCTTATGTTTGAGAATATGTAGAAATATAACAGACCTAATTTATTTAATTTTGGGGGAAATGTCAATTTTATTACCTTTTTCATTTCTTAGAAATAAAATTGAATTCTCAAGACAAATGCAGAACAAGACAATGTGGTGTACAATTGTGTGACGTACCATTTTGACAGGTTTAGACAGTGTGCTTTTAATTATTATCAGACATTATGCTGAGATGTGGTTTGTGAAGTCATTGAAGCGTCCTCTACATTTTTTAATGCCTGATTTTTTGTATTATCCACTCATTCATTTAAGAGTAGATATAGGTGTTTACGGATTTGTACCTGTGTTAAATGTCCAAGGTGTACCCCACTGAACAGGTGAGAGAAGCATGGGAGTTTGATAACAAAAACAACTCCACCAACCTGACTACTGGGTAGGTCGTTATTGTGAACTTAGCAAACAGTATTGTTCTGAGTAGAAAACCAGCCCTAGTAGTGTATTGTAAAAATAAAAATCTGTTCACAAGTAAGAGCTAATAATGCGCTGGACAGGACCCAAGTCAAGGATCACAATCACAGGCAAAGCTGTGATGTAGGGGTTTGTGTGGAAATCAATATTTCTAGTAAATATGAATGGCTGAGAGTAGTCATGATTATTTGGAGATCCTTCCTGATGAAGACGGAGAAAACACAATGAATCGGCCGTCCATTGAGATACCTTTACTGGAGGGTGCACAGTCGGGTAAAAACAAGATATCATTCGTGTGGGTGATTTACTGCGGGTCAGATTGTGACAGTCTTATGTGCTTCTATATAGAGTTAGTGTCACTGTTTTTCTATTCACTGGATGTGAGGATTGGTCTGTATTTGTTTTCCTGACAACTGTAAGTTTTCATTCATTCTTTACATCTAGAAATTCTTGGCAACTTTATGGTAGGTCATTCAATTAGTATCTTGTGTTACTATCATCAATGGACCAATACCTTTCAATTGTGTAAAAAGATTTTTCTAATTACTCCCTACTGCTCTAATCATTACATTCACGTGCTCTATGACCTCTGGGGGTTAATTGAATTGTTCCATGCAGGGATTACCACTGTGAACTTAAGAAGACAGGTTAATTGACCTGTGACCTAGATTTTATGTCAACAATGACAAAGCTAGCTGGCTACCTAAGTAGGGATTTAGCGGATACTTCAGTTATGTTTGTGACTTGCTTCTGCTGTGGGCCTGCACTCTCTCTATACTCCCTGTTAATCATAGCTCATTAATCGCTCAATTGCTGTAGCGCGTAGGCTCGGACAGTGCAGTTGTTAGCGACATGTGCTAGTGCTTTGTTGAGATGGAATACTATAATGACTATAGGTTTACTTGTAGGACCTCTGTTCCTTACTCTAAATGTGGTATGTATTAGTTTGTCTAGTTCAAATGTCACAGACATTTACTGTTATTTGTATATGATTGGGTTTGAGAAATATTAAGTACCGGTACAAAGAAGACATGTAAATGAATTCCACCTTTTTGTTGTTCATAGTTGTAGTGATACGAATTTAAGGCTGATATGCTGACTGTTTCTACAATATTGATATTTATTTGAAATAATGAATATATGTAACCCAATTTAAAACAAGGTCAACATTTTAATCAAAGGCACATGCTTTCCACTTGTGAATAACAGACATCCTGGCTTATAATTCAAGATGAAATGTAAAACTGGCTAAGAATTTCCTTTCTGTAAGTCATATGGCAACCAGGGTATGTGTTGTGGATTAAAAAATAAGAATACCAGTATTTATGATTTATAGTTGGCTTTCGTAAATTTCAGGGGGAAAAAAATTGCATGTACAGATTATTAAAAAGTGTGCCGTGGTATTTTACTTAGATAATTTTATAAATGCAAGAACTTTAGTTCTGAAAATTATTCAAAGTTGACGCCATAAAAAATGAAAAGATAAACCTTAGAAATTCCTACTGTACAAGTAATGACATGCTGATTTTTTTGTTTTAAGGATCTGTGGATGTTGACCAGGTGAGCCCGGAATTCCCCATGCAGTCCTCAGGTCAATATCGACCCGTCAGTACGGCTAAAACGTATGACTACGCCGACTGTCCACATCAATACGAAGAACTCCCACACCCACAGTGAGTACATCACATCACAGCTCAGGGCTGTCAATCATTGATTTACTCTGTCTGAATCATTTAATATTGATCTCTGTCTAATGTTGGTTATTCTGTAATGGCCTGGAAAAGTTTGATAATTCAATGTTTTGATTTTTTCTCCTCCATGTTTCATGGTAGATCTGTTGATTCAGCATAAAATATTAATTTGTGCTTTAGAGAAAGTTGATATTGCGAGATGATTTGGCAAACGGTAGAGAGTTTTTTTTAATCAGAAATTCAGGAGGTAACTTGTTGTAAGAGTTTATCAGATAACTGCATTCAGTGTTTTCTTCTGTTGCATTATGGTAGCTATCGTTAAAATACACTGATCAGTTTGTGAGGGTGTATTACATCATAGATTTTAGAGCTGAGTTTTCCTTTCTTTGCTGTAGAGATAAACATTTATATATCATCACAAGTTTTTTTTTCTCTGGGGAAACAATAATTGAGAATTTATATGACTTTTTTATCATTTGACATTTCAGTACCTGATTAATAAAACATCAATATTGTTGAATAGGATTATAAACTATAGAAAATGATATATATCATTCCCCAAGTCACCCACATATCTCTACAAAGTGTAGTAACCTTTTAACTGAGGTTCAGTAACAAACATGTTTTAGTGTAATGCCTCAAACATATGGTAAAACAAAAAAAAATTACCAGTCTCTAAAGAAAACTGTTGCTTCTGATTTATACATTATATATTGATATTTGACCATTTCCATAGCAAAGCAATAAATGTTACAAGAATCCCTATAATTGGGGACATAATTGGTAGATAACCAAGGATCATCAGATTGTGAAGTTACACAGGGAATGAAGGAGATAAAAATAACTTAATCCCCAGATAATGATTTAAGGACAAATGGTTATTAGGTACATGTATATCTGATTAAGTTGTAATCACTGTGTATACATTACAAATAAACCTGATGTAGCTGTAAAAATAGTTGATAAAGTGTCCAGGTGTCTAGTGATATTGAATCTGTATTGATTGATTATAAAATCAATTTTTTATTGAAAAAATATCTTCCAGGGTAAATTATCTGTGACCCATTACTAAATATTAATGAATTATGAAGAAAATCTTCCCTTCTCTATTGCTTCAAGGGCACACATATGCTGATATATTTTTTAAAATTCATCTTGTTACAGAAATATTTCAGAATCTAATGTAAACTGTGGGTAGTATATACATTGGTCCATCAAATACCTTACTTTGAGTTTATTTGAACTTTTCAGGCTACAGCCCAATGGCATGTCTCCGGATTCTGTGGACACTCACTCCTCTAATGGCACCACAGTTACATCAGGAATACACTCGGAGCTCGAGGAGGGAGACAGGGCTGCCCAGTCCTCAGAGGAGAGGTTTGTATGAAAGTATTGAACAGTTCCATGTTTCATAGATGTTTCATAGACTCTCCAGATAATCTTCCTGTAAATTGTTCTTAAAAATCATGTACACTTTCTTTTTCTATAACATGTGTTCATTTCTTTTTGATATTCTATAAAAATTGTCAATAAGTGTTTATGTTGGGAGTATCAGAGCAGTAAATACCTTACCTCATTTGCACAGGAAGAGGTTTAACCCGCTGTATGATGCCATGATCAACACCTCCCCTGTCATTTACAACAAAGTGAACTCGACTGTGAAGGCTAAGCAGGACCTGACAGTGATGTCACAGCTCCGCCTTCTAAAGATAGCTCTCCTTCTACTCATACTTATCTCTATAGCCTCACTCTTCATCAGTATCTATGTTGTCATCGCATTTAGTGATGGTAAGAGTTAGCTCCCTTAAAATCTCTAACACATTAAAGGGAAAAAGACACAGTTGAAAAGTAGATTTCTAGACTTTGGCTGAGATTACTTGCTATTTTGATGCACATTTTACATGTCCTTAAGGACAATTTTTTGTGCACGGTTCATCTTCTCAATCTCAGGTTCAATCTGTACCACTTAAACCTTGACCAAATTATATATATATGTATATCTGTAAATAAGTTCATCTGAGTGTAAAAGACAATGTAAAGAGAATTATAAAAAGCTTAGATACTGTAATACTAATTGGGATGAGGTAGATGGAAATGTGGGTCATCGGGTCAATCTTTATTTGACAGAGTTTCTTTAAGGTTCAAGGATATGACTTAACATGTTTTCGTCCATTATGAGGTCACAGTGTGATTGTTTTATAAGTCACTAAGTTCAGTAACATCTGTTTTAGGTCCTAATGAGGTAGCATCATTAAAGAGAGAATTACAAAGTCTACAGTCCAATTATACCAACATGAAAACAAAGGTAGGTCTCAAAAGAAACCTCAGGTTGGAGATTAAAAAATATTTATTTAGGAATGTTAAGGGCATGGAGTTAAAAAATACATATACATTGTATGGTTATTAATACATGCATGTTGTTGGATGAAAAATGGTTATGAGGAATAGGAGAGTACTTTCAAAAGAATCTCTTTGGAAAGTTTTGAGTACAAATAATTATGCTTTTGGTCTGAATGAAAAATTACACAAAAGAATATTTTTTTAAAAGTGAGATAAGTAGTAGAAGTACATTTTATTTTATATATTCAGAATCACATGTTCAGACAAGATAAGTGTTTGGAGAGGTATACTTGATATACTTAGCATGTCGAAAATTTAACCCTCTCTAATCATCAAAGAAAGTAACACGCAGTAATGTTTGTTGTTTTTGTTTGTATGTCAATATCTGAGAGGTTTAATAATATCCTAATTTGTATTTTTAGATGATGATTCTGGAGTCACTTGTTGCTGGCAATAAGTCTTTTGAATACATCAGTGACCTTGATGATAAGGTAATTATGTACTCTACATAAGAGACCATGTACAATCAGAATGCACAGATGTATCCTGTATAAAAGTGCACTGGAATTTTCTCCTTTCATTGTTTTATATTTATTTTGCCACTTGTGTTCAGGATCTGTCATGGCATTAGAAGAATTTAAAGCTTTCTGAATGTAACAACTTTATTTTTAAATACATATCTCCCATGCATTTTCATGGAATTGATTTCAGTCTGGTCTATGGAGTTATATTCAGGTAAAATGGTTTTCAAGTAAAATCTGCATGTTAGATATACATGTATACACATCTATACAAATAACATCATTTATGCATTTGCCCTTGTGCATGCCCATCTTGTAATTATCCATATAAAAGAAAAACCAAAATCCTCCATAAAACTTTCATTTATACATCATGTAAAATAGAGAAAAGTATAGTAAAGTTTAAAAAAAATTATTTAATTTTTTTTTCTCAAATCAAATATTTTTCTTAGGGAAGAATGCTAATAACTTAATGAATAATATTTATTTAGATATACACTTTTAATAAATGTCTTGGGGTTTGGGGAAGGGGTAGGGAGGAGGTGTACATTTTAGATATGAGTGTAGCTTTAAGTATTGCTTATTGCTATATTGTATTTCTGTCTGTACTTTATGACATATGACTATAGGTCTCTATTCTTTTTCAGCTGATCTTTTTTCAACGACAAACAAAGGAAAATATATCATCACTACAAACAAACCTCCAAAATACAAAGACTGATATTATCCAAGTGGAAGATCACTTAAGTTACAGTTTCCAGAACCTCACTTCCATCATAGAATCCCAGAATGCAACATTTCAGGAACAACTCCTGAATATCAGTAAAATGCAGGGACCTCAGGTAAAATAGACAAATTCTTAAATTCCTCTCTGTGTTTCTGACATAACATTGAAATTTATGTTTTCCATTTATGTCATTGTGCTCTGTCATTCTTAACATGTAAAAAATATATTAACACCTTCAAATTTACTTGGTCTTTTTCAAGTCCTTACCAGTGTTTGAAAGAATCTGCTTTTAAGGAAACATTTTATGAAACAAAAGTGATTACAAGACTAAAGGGGAGTAACTCCTGCTAAAAACTTTATTGGTTTTGGTTTAATATCTGCATTGTGAACAATAAGAAGGTTGTTGTTGATTCATAAAAGTTATTATTTACAGGGTCCACAGGGCGTGGGTAACCTCAGTGCTTGTTTTATGAAGGACAATGTTGCCACCTCACCCATAGACACAATGTCCACTTCCACATTAAACCCTTTTCCTCCCCGGGAGGATCTGGAGGTACCTTTAACTTTATTATACTGTATAAGCAGAATTTTTAGTTAATTTTGGCATTTTAGACCCTTTCACGGTAACTGCGGTACTACTCTTTTGCAGGGCAAAATGATATTTTTTGGTGAAATATGATGTAAAAGCAATTGTTTAATATACGTCATTTAATTATCTATCAACAAAAACTTCGCCAAATGTTATTAATTTGCCTGCAAAAGAGTAGTACCGCAGTTACTGTGACGTGGCTAATTGCAAGGGTGCTGAAATCGCTAAAATTGAATATCGCTAAAAATAAATTGTGGGGTTTTTTTTGTGATAGGTTCTTTAGTGAGCATTTTAGAATTGCTAAAATTACATCGCACTTAAAATAAAATTCCAATTTTTAAAGACAAATTGCTAAATTTGTTTCTTGCTAAAATTTCCACTTATATCTGAATCATACATATTGTTAAATATATTACTTAGATACTAATTGATTTTTCCTTTTCAGAAATATGTTGTGATGTTTGTGACATGTTCTATATCTGGAGGAACGCACCACACCTTACAACTTACAACTATAGACAGGCACAGAATACAGTATCAGTGTGTTTGTAGTGGAAAGATAAGTGGCGAGACTGTAAGAAGATGTCGACTTCATGTGTGGCTCTGTCCCAGACTCACGTGAAGTTAAACATGTGAACACTGGGTAAAACCTGAGGTCCACCCACAGAATCCAAAGAAATCTAACACTGGGTAAAACCTGAGGTCCACACACAAAATCCAAAGAAATCTAGTCAGAAACTAAAACCCTTAGATCTGTCTCCAGTCAGCTTTATTTATGTAACATATGGCCAGATGATTCTATTAACAGGAAGATCAGACAGATCAGTGGGACATTTATGTGTATTATGAGCTTGGCAATTAAATTTTACTGCATGTGTTCAATACGCGTCACTCTTGATGATCCTTTGACATTTTGTCAAAACCTTTTTTTTTTTTTTTAAATTGTGATGACTATATTTACATACATACTTTTTTCAATAAAAAGTCATTATAAATGTCAGAGTATTGAGAAGATCACAAGCAACATTTGGTGTGTGTTTTTTCTAAATACCTTTGATTTTCTCTTGAGATTCTGTCCTCTATTATTAGTGTCTAACATTTCTCTCTTTTGTTGAAGACTGTCAATTTATAGAATACAGCCTGGAGAGCGAGAGAATAATGACCAAGAACAGGAACGTGATGTTATGAGAGATTTAAAGGAAAATAGAATTTTGAAAACATAGACATATGTTTAAATTTGACATTTGTTATAGATATAAATTGTACTTTGTTTCGGTTAATGAATAACCTTTTTATTTGTAACATATTTTCTTATGTTTGTACTGTTTTTATCAGCAAAGGTGCTATATTGTTTCAGGTACCAATGTGCTACGTCATTGAAATAAAATGTGATGCATAATATATATCTATTTTTAAATTGATCTTTTTCAACTATTTTCTCATATTTTATTTATTTAGGTACTCTGATCCTCAGGTTCTGAAAATCAGGCATTGGCTAATTGTAATTGCTCACAAAAATGTCTCTGAATTGATTTCTCAAAGTAATGTGTTTTTACCCATGATAATTCTTCAAACTTTGTCTTTAAATTTAATCATTATGCGGGGAAAATGAGTAAATCTCAAATAAATTTTCAGGAAATGCAAATATGCACAATTTTTATACAAATAAACTTAGGTTCTTCAATTTACATTGATCATTTTATAATAAAGATTTTCCTATCTTTGCAAAGCACCATAAATCACTTTTTAATTTCATATGTTAATAAACATTGGTTATAGATTGAAAAAAAAACTCAATTTCTTTAAATATGTAATTTTAAAATACTTTTATGGGGTAAAAATTACGAAAATTGTTGCATGAAAAGATTTAATTTTTAAGCTTCGTTTCGAGACTTTTTGAATTAAATTGTAAATTAAAGAGTTATCCTTCCTGTGTGAGGATCGTAGTACCTTAAAAAGGCTGCAAAACATATTCCAGCTGTTTGTATGGAGCCTTGGAAAATATACTGAATTGGGAGGGGGGGGTTGCCAGCTTCAGTTTTTTCAAACATGGATAAATTAATGATGAATTAATATCTAACTCTAGATATATATAGTACACAAGAACTTGTACATAATATTGGACGGCCATCTGCAGGAGTTATCTCCCATGAGTCTCTCATCATGTAGACCACAAGAAAACAAATTAAACAGAAAACATATTTTTCATAAATGCCCAGCTTTGAGTGCAGTATCCCGCCCCCACAGCTCTGTGTTGTAAACCTTGGTGTGTTTCTGGTCCTTTATAACCAGTTGAAGTCGTTATCTGATCGTCTCCCGGCCCTGTACAGTATCTGATTCTACAGGAGTGTCGACCAGTGGCCCCCAGACATCCATATCTACACTCAGAATGACTACAGTCTTAATGGAAGTATAGCACAGAAAGAGAGGTATGTACAAACTGTTGTATAAATGTAGCATGTTACATAATTTAGTTGAAAATAAATAAATGTAAAATATTTGTTTAATTCTGAGAATTTACTTTACTTTTTCCGTCTTGTTACAAATAATTTGAGCTGAACACTTTGTTTTTATTCCATGACGAATTTCTCAATTAAATGGAGTTAGTTTACACGTGACCTTATTCAGTATTTAGCGGGTGTTCTTGGTACATTTTAACGTACAATGTCTATTTGACTGGCTTAATCAATTCTTCCTTGTCTTTTTTTCGGTTTGTTTTAGATGAGATGGTTTTTGTGCGTGCTTCTTTGCATTCCATTCTCACAAGGTGAGTCAGACTAGGACCCTATCGTCGGGGGGAGGGGGGATCACACTCTCTTAAAGCTAAAAGTAGGAGTAACCCTCTCAGCACAAACCCATCTCCCTTTCCGGAAACCTGGTAATGGGTGAATGAGGGCGTACCCGCTGCATAACTGTTAAGCTAGATTTTACGCTCAGTAGGCTGGTTATCGCTTTTAACCGTAGCTTTGTGTAGATCAACCCAATCTGCTAACTTAGCACCAAGATCTTGCCCTGTGTAATAATAATTCAACTTTTTGAATTAATTTGGTTCTAAACAAGAAAGTTTTTTAAATTTTATGAAGATACTTTTTGCTATCAAAATCTGCACTAAATACTATTCTTAGTGAAAACTTAAAGGAAGAAGATCGCTTGGTGCTGTGCACTTTATGTTCTTTTCACTTTCAAGCAAAGTTCATTAAAATTTCTTTGTTTTCCAGCTCAAAGTTGTTCCAAATATATTGATCTTATAATTGTTGTGGAGTCCTCCAATGCTACATCATTCGTCACCGCCGACGGTAAGCGGACATGGCACCCCGCGATCCAGATGTTCCTTACCAGCCTGTTGGACGGCATCACTCTTGGCGCCGAGTTCTTCCGTGTGGCGATCGTGCTCTACAGTTCGGCGGTGGATGATGTTATGACTTTTTCTGTTGACAGACAGTTTGCACAACACGCCATCTCTTACTTGCGTCCAAACTTTGAAGGGGCAAATTTACATATGGGTCTGGAGGAAATGAATCGAATGTATCAGTACTACTCTCGACCAGGCGCCACTAAGCGCGCTTTACTGGTCACTGGGTCACAAATTCACGATGACTCTAGCACGTTTGCTGAAGTTTGGCAAGCACGTATCATGAATGTAGATCTTCTGGCTGTTGGTTTTGGTGAGAAAGTAGTAGAAGAGGAGTTAGAGCAGATTGCTTCGGATTTTGCTGTGACAACCGATGATATAGGAATGCTGTATGCCTTAGTTAACAGAGCCCTTCAGAGGGTATGTTTAGGCAAGTAAAGATCTTTCAAAGTCTTCTAGTTCTAGTCCAGATTTTGGTAACGTGGTCTAGCGGTCAAATTGTATACAATGTATCTTTTGTATTTGTGTTGTTCACCTCTTTACTACAATTTCCAAGCCAATCGTCTACAAAGCACTAAGTAACCGTAATTTGTGATTATTTCATGAATTTATTTTTCACAATATTTTTCATACCATTCTTAATTAGCATAACGTTCTTCACATTGTTCTATTTTTTTATTTGCCTCTAATAATGTCGAAATTTGTTAATCAATCATTGAAATATTCTAGATCCAGTTGACGGCAGTTGGTCTTCCTGGATGAACTGGAGCACGTGCACGGCTTCTTGTAACGGTGGCTATCGCTCACGTGCACGTTCCTGCAGCTCACCTAGACCCTCCCTTGGCGGTCAGCTTTGTGATGGTATGCCAAGTCAGACAGAAATCTGCAACACACACGGCTGCCAAGGTCTGTATTAATTTTTATTAATACTGATTTTGACTATATGATTTTTTTAAGTTTGGAATACACAAACCTACGGAAGCGTATTAGTGCCATTTGCACACTTTACTTTTTTTTAATTTCCACACTTTAATCTGTAAATTTTACACTTTAAAGTGTAAATTTTACACTTTAAAGTGTAAATTTTACACTTTAATCTGTAAATTTTACACATTAATCTGTAAAATTTACACTTTAATATGTAAATTTTACACTTTAATCTGTAAATTTTACACTTTAATCTGTAAAATTTACACTTAAATGTGTTAATTTTACACTTTAATCTGAACATTTTACACTTTAATCTGTAAATTTTACACTTTAATCTGTAAATTTTACACATTAATCTGTAAAATTTACACTTTAATATGTAAATTTTACACTTTAATCTGTAAATTTTACACTTTAATCTGTAAAATTTACACTTAAATGTGTTAATTTTACACTTTAATCTGAACATTTTACACTTTAATCTGTAAATTTTACACTTTAATCTGTAAAATTTACACTTTAATCTGTAAATTTTACAGATTAAAGTGTGAATTTTACACTTTAATCTGTAAATTTTACACTTTAAAGTGTAAATTTTACACTTTAATCTGTAAATTTTACACTTTAATCTGTAAATTTTACAGATTAAAGTGTGAATTTTACACTTTAATCTGTAAATTTTACACTTTAATATGTAAATTTTACATTAATCTGTAAAATTTACACTTTAATATGTAAATTTTACACTTTAAAGTGTAAATTTTACACTTTAATCTGTAAATTTTACACTTTAAAGTGTAAATTTTACACTTTAATCTGTAAATTTTACACTTTAATCTGTAAATTTTACACTTTAATCTGTAAATTTTGCAGATGAAAGTGTGAATTTTACACTTTAATCTGTAAATTTTACACTTTAATATGTAAATTTTACACGTTAATCTGTAAAATTTACACGTTAATATGTAAATTTTACACTTTAAAGTGTAAATTTTACACTTTAATCTGTAAATTTTACACTTTAAAGTGTAAATTTTACACTTTAATCTGTAAATTTTACACTTTAATCTGTAAAATTTACACTTTAATCTGAATTTATAGGATTTATAGATTATATCACAATTGTGACATCCATATATTATTTATGTGAAAAAAGTCTAACAGGCCCTGGAATCTATATTGGGGGAGGGGTCCTCAAGCACCTGTGATTGGGAATATCTGCATATATGTTTGATATGCTCTTCACTTTATATTCAAAAAAAGTTTTACTTTAATATAAAACATCAATATTAAATTTTATCATGCACGAAACGCAGTCTGTTGGCTTAGATTGATTGATTGATTATATACTGTTTAACGTCCCTCTCCAGAATATTTCACTGATATGGAGACGTCTTAGAAATGTGTTACTGAGGATGTGTGAAGATGCTAAATTGACTATGTGAATAAACAAATAAAGTGTAAATTTTACAGATTAAAGTGTAAATTTTACAGATTAAAGTGTAAAATTTACAGATTAAAGTGTAAAATTTACAGATTAATCTGTAAAATTTACAGATTAATGTGTAAAATTTACACTTTAATGTGTAAAATTTACAGATTAAAGTGTAAAATTTACAGATTAAATTGTAAAATTTACAGATTAAAGTGTAAAATTTACAGATTAATGTGTAAAATTTACAGATTAAAGTGTAAAATTTACAGATTAAAGTGTAAATTTTACAGATTAAAGTGTAAATTTTACAGATTAAAGTGTAAAATTTACATTTTAAAGTGTAAAATTTACAGATTAAAGTGTAAAATTTACATTTTAATGTGTAAAATTTACACATTAAAGTGTAAATTTTACAGATTAAAGTGTAAAATTTACAGATTAAAGTGTAAAATTTACACTTTAAAGTGTAAAATTTACACATTAAAGTGTAAAATTTACAGATTAAAGTGTAGAAATTAAAAAAAAGTGAAGTGTCCAAGTGGCACTAATACGCTTCCGTACAAACCTACATGTTCTTCGAAGTTGATTAAAAAAAGGATGCACACGTTTCAGATTGAGAAAATCTTTCTTACGGAAGCGTATTAGTGCCACTTGGACACTTCACTTTTTTTTAATTTCTACACTTTAAAGTGTAAATTTTACACTTTAAAGTGTAAGTTTTACACTTTAAAGTGTAAGTTTTACACTTTAAAGTGTAAGTTTAACACATTAATCTGTAAAATTTACACTTTAATCTGTAAATTTTACACTTTAATCTGTAAAATTTACAATTTAATCTGTAAAACTTACACTTTATTTGTTTATTCACACAGTCAATTTAGCATCTTCACACATCCTCAGTAACACATTTTTAAGCCAACAGACCATGTTTCGTGTATGATAAAATTTAATCCTCATGTTTTACATTAAAATAAAATCATTCTTTGAATATAAAGTGAAGAGCATATCAAACATACATGCACATATTCCCGATCACAGGTGCGTAAGGACCCCTCCCCCTCCCCCCCAATATAGATTCCAGGGCATGTTAGACTTTTTTCACATGAATAATATATGGATGACACAATTGTGATATAATCTATAAATCCTATAAATTCAGAAAATTTGCTTAAACTAACATTTTATTGGCTTACAAATGTTTTACTGAGGATGTGTGAAGATGCTAAATGTGAATAAACAAATAAAGTGTAAAATTTACAGATTAAAGTGTATAATTTACAGATTAAAGTGTAAATTTTACAGATTAATGTGTAAATTTTACAGATTAATCTGTAAAATTTACACTTTAAAGTGTAAAATTTACAGATTAAAGTGTAAATTTTACAGATTAAAGTGTAAAATTTACAGATTATAGTGTAAATTTTACAGATTAATCTGTAAAATTTACAGATTAATGTGTAAAATTTACAGATTAAAGTGTAAAATTTACACTTTAAAGTGTAAAATTTACAAAATTCACACTTTAAAGTGTAAAATTTACAGATTAAAGTGTCGAAATTAAAAAAAAAGTAAAGTGTGCAAGTGGCACTAATACACTTCCGTACTTTCTAGTTTTTGAAATCAAGTTTTCAAACATTCTTTTGAAAATCCCATGGGTATTTATTTCACCCCGTTATTGCATGAGTCAAAATGTATTTAAAACATTCATGAAAAGAAAACAAAGTCTTGCTGTGGCCTTTTATTTTATATATTTCATGACTCAGTTGCATGGAGAACTATACATGCAATTAGTCGGACTCCAAGAACCAAACTGTATATACCGGTAGTTTCGTTCGAGGACGCTGCTCTCGAATTTAGTTTATATATGTTCAATTTTACTCCATTGTTGCAAGCCACGGGTTTTGTGTCCATTCTATTTCGACAAACCGGTAATTGTGGAAATAGGATGGACACAAAACTCGTGGCATGCGACGATGGTTTTACTCTTAGCATTTTATTTTGACATCACATACCTAGTATTTTGCGCTTGCTTCCTTATTTGCGATAACTGACAAGCTATAGCTGGCAACGTCATATCGCTCCAATATCTCGTCGTTAAAACGTCATATCGCTCCAATATCTCGTCGTTAAAACGTCATATCGCTCCAATATGTCATTGACAATTGCAGTTATCTCACTTAATGGTCCAACATCGTTTTTTAGTACAATTCTATGGTAAGCTTGGACTTTCAGTAAGGCGTGGCATTCTCGACGTTATATAATTAGCATTGGAAATTTACACATCTTTTATTCACTGTTTAAATGTACATTGGGGTAGAAATTCAGACAAATGTCAACGAGAATATCGAATAACTAACATTGTCTCTTCCTGCTAAGAGGTGGAGCTTAAGTCATCTCATCGTTGTCAACAGTAATTTAAAGTTCCTGATGTTATTAATTTCTTAACCAATGAGAATCTATTCGCCATTTGACGGACGCTAATTACGTACCGCCGAATGCCACGCCTTACTGAAAGTCACAGCTTAACTGAGAATTGTACTATGTTGTTTTGTTTTGACCGCTCATAATTTATATGAAGCAGAATTAATTCAAGAAATTTTACTTGAAAAGTGGAAGTCTTTTGCTGTGACCTTCAATAATGACGGCGTTCGAGGGGTACATACAATTTGTCAGACCCAAGAAACAAACTGCAACAGATTTGTTCTAGGGGTCGACAAAACCATGTAGCCCTCGAACTCAATTAATAATTTTTGTTAAACCTTTTACTTTTTATTGTCATATTTGAGATCTTTTCCCTGTTTTCGATAATTGATAAGCTATAATAAAGAAGCTTACCCCGCCTTATTGCGGTTCAATATCTCACTGACACTGTACAATTTCTCTCTGAATGTCCACTCCAGGTTCAATTGTACCTCTCAGTAAAACATTAAAACTATTAACGTAAAATGTTTTATTATAGATTTATATATAGGAAATAAAGTTACGTGTTTGCTCACAGATTGTTCCAATAGACTTCTGAACTTATTCAGTACTTTTTATGATCTTACATGTCATGTATATCTTCTTGAGGAACTGCTATACACATGTATTGTCCTTAATCAATTATTGTCTCTTTAGATGAATGGGGACTGGGAAGTTGGTCTACTTGGAGTGACTGTTCCATTTCCTGTGGGACAGGCAGACGAGTAAGGACCCGCTGGTGTCAGGGACAGTGCGGGGACAGGGAGGCAGACACGGAGTTCCAGTCCTGCTCCAAAGCAGACTGTCCTGTACCTGGTAGGTCTGACAATCTCATTAACAGATGTAGTCAAACTATCACCCATAATAAAAAGAGGATGCACTATTTTCTGGAGGCCCATGTCACATGTCATCAACTTTTTACTTGTAGTTGATGGTGCGTGGTCTGAGTGGGGAGCATGGAGTTCTTGTGACTGTCACACAAAGACACGTCAAAGACAGCGGGATTGTTCTAATCCTCCACCATCCAATGCTGGCAAACCTTGCTCTGGTTCGTCAGAAAACAGACAAGCCTGTCCGCGGAATGACACAGCACTGTGCCCTGGTAACAGACAGCACTTCAAATAAAATTCAGTTTACGATTACGGATGCTCTCATCCGCTTTGGGGCGCAAAAACCTGGCTTTTTGCTTATTGCAGTACGTCTTTTAGAAAAGGAAATCAAAAGAATGCAACAGCCGAATGTTTAAAAATATCAGCGTACAGAATCATTCGCACTGGTTTTGTACATTTCTGCGCCCTAAAAATGATTTTACTCAAGATTTTCTGTGTAAATAGTAATAATCTTATATTGAGTTTGGATATTTATTTTTTTTGCAATGGATTTCCTTTTAGAGAACGGTAGCTGGTCATCATGGTCTGAGTGGAGTACGTGTTCAAAGTCTTGTGGGGAAGGAATTTCATCTCGAACACGACAGTGTAACAAACCACCGCCGCGTAATGGCGGAACCTATTGCTCCGGTTCGGAGTTTGATCAACGTAGATGTAATTTATACACACTGTGTCAAGGTAACTTGGTCAAAATAAATTACCTTTATTTAGGAAGAGCTAAAAAGTGTTTGCGTTGTTATGACGATTTTATATTCCCAGATTGTCCATACAAACCCTCACAACAAGGGGACAATTGGTATTTGATGAAACTTGACGACTCGTGGGTACCACAGCGCTGTTTTGATGGAAACATCTTCTCCGCGGATGTTTGCAAATGTATAGCAGACAGAAACACCGCTGATGCCCCACGTAAGTGTACTAGTATTTGACAGTCCTCCTCCCACATTCCATCTTTATAGATTTCCATCTTTATAGATGAAAATAATAAGATATTGTGCATGATTTTTAAAACCATTCATACTACTTTTTCCATAGGATGTGATCAAGTTTTAGATCTGGATTTTCTGTCAAGTGCTGAAAACACTGGTGTACTACAATACGATGGCAGAGGGAATGCAGTGTTCAATAAAGACACTAGAATCGTTTTATGGCAGTTTTATCAAATGGAGCTGGACTCTGGATTTAGACTGTCTGCCAGAGTGAAACCAAACGGTGACCTTCATTCATTAATGACTTTAATAAGCTATGGAGACTGTGTTTCTAACATGCATCCGTCCATAACGATCATGTTTCAAACTCTTGAAGAAAAAATTGTGAAAGTGATATTTGGACTTTCTTTACAAAATAAAAGAATGATGTCTTTTCTTAATGTAACCACTATGGTAAGATTTTCATGTATTTCTTTTTTACGCTCTTTCTGAGACTTTATTTTTATATCACTACTGTTTGCATTCTTAATTAAATTGCCTGTATATCTTCATATTTTCAAGGTAGATGACCACCTTGATTTAACTCTCCACTTCAATGGTAGAAGTTTTGGAGGTGAAGTGAACAACAAACTCACAACAATTACATTTTCTAAAATAGGTAAAATATACATAAACCTTGATCCATACTTTTAATTATAATATAGGAAAAATTCAATTGTATATCAGAAAATAGTTTTTTCAAGCTGACAAGGCCTCAGTCCATTTTATGTAATTGATAGTCTCTTGCTCTCTCTCTATCGAGTCAAAATAGTCAAACAACAAGGACATCAACAGAAGACTCAAGTCAGAAAGGAAATCTAGTACAATGTATTGTGAAATTGCAAAGATGACTGTATGATTCCTTACATTGTCACTTCCCACTTCCTCACTGTCACCTTTCATTTGTTGCTCTTCCCCTTCATATACTTTCGTACCTCACTTCAATTTTTAATATAGCCATCAAAGTCCTGCCTATTTTCACTGATGTATCAATTCAAAATGGATGGGATCAAATGGCCTTATCATTAATCACAATTGTCTTCTTATTAACAGAACATTTACAAAGGCAGGGAGGGCCTTTGGTATTAGGGAAAAATGTATGTTCCCACAATCCTGGATTTCAAGGACTTATAAATCAGGTAAACTTTTTCAGCTCACCTGAGCCAAAGGCTGAAGTGAATTTTTCTGAGAGTGTCCGACATCACGTGTTGTTCATAAACTTTTCAAATTTTTTACTTCTTCTCAAGAAGCACTATGTCAATTTCAATTTTATTCATTAGTTGTATCTATATGGAAGCTTCTGTCGGTACAGTACTGTACATTCAAATCACAGGCACCTGACGTTACTTATTTTTCTTTTAATAAAAAAAATATACACATACCTAATAATGAACATTATTATATGTTCAATATGTTCAAATCATGACTCCTTATTCTAGGAAGGTGCCACAAATATCAAAATTTTACACAGGAATTTATAAGGGAAAATTATTTCCTCTCATGAACAGCAAAGCCATGACGAGGCATTGGTATGCTAGCATCTTCAAGTATTTTAGATTCGTTTGATTCAATCAGGGCCCCTGAGAATAGGTTTCAACTACAATACAATCGTGTCAAGCATTTGATTTTGGAACACCCCAATCTTGTACTGATTTAACTTTGATTAAATAATATACTGTACATGTAACCATTTTAAAACTAACTTTTGGTCCATAATTTTTCTGTGTGTCCCACAGGCCGCTATTTTTATCATTTAAATACAGTATTCTCAATAAATATGCTACAAAATGTAAAACTGTGGATATTTTGATACATTTAAAACTGGTTTTATGAATCACAGGTGCAATGAGACTGAAACTAATCACTCCTGTGTTAATCATTAACTACTCCATACCTTTAAATACATTTCCCATTTATTTACACTTTTTTTTCAGATTCAACTCTATAGCTGTTAACTTGCTGTGCATGTTTCATCTCATCTTTTCCCAAAATTTCAAGAGAAAAAAACAATAATTCTTAAACTGTAGACATTTCATTTTCCATTTTTTAAAAGAAATGTTATTACATGTATGACATGAGCATTCAAAGCAATCTCAGTGAAAAAAAGTTTGATACAAATGAAATTATAATAATTACATATAAATGTCCATACAATGCTTTTCAATGTGAAAATTGCTTGATGTATATCATTAAAATCTTTATGAACCTCATTTTAGTACAGTAGTTCATTTATGTACCAGCAGTATGGAATGGTATAAATGTACTGTTGGTATCATCACCCTGCTGTACAGATTTGGATCAACACAATGACTACAGGATTCATCAGAAGTGCAAATATACCAAACAAAATCTTGACAGTCCACACACATTGTCTACATATTATTTATCTACAATTAACATTACGTATGTGTATAATGGGACACTAAAGAATCACTTTCAGATGTGGGGGGTCAATGTTCATTGGCAAGCAAAATTTTGTGGTTCATAGGGATGTAATTTCGATAAATCATACATGTATACAGCTGATTCAATAAATAAATATGTTGACAAAATAATTGTTGGTGGGGATAAAAATTCATGGATAAGAGTGACCCACAAAATCCATGAACATTGGTCCCCCATAGACATGGACGATTCCACAGTACTCAAAATAGCAGATATGAGGCACAAAAAAGGTACAAAGCATGACAATATACACTTGAAATAAAACATCTAATATATATTTTTAAAACAAACAAATGATTTAATGATAATGTAAGTAGAATAAGAAAATAAATTAAATGGGAGCAGAATTTGATAAATCAAATTTCGTTCTTGATTTTCCAAATTCTGTTCCCACTGTGAATGTATGAAGAAAATTACACTTGTACATGTATTCACCTATTATCTACAAAAAAAAATCCAAAATGTACAAATACCAGGGTACTTGAATTCACCTACAATGAAGAAAAAAACCAAAACACCAGAATCAAATTCTAACATACATATACCGATTCAGCCTTTATATTTGCAGCATTTGAAAATTATACTAATTTTATACCAGTGTGATGACATATCAGAGAAGAAATTCATGAAAATCCAAGAGGTTCAGAAATTTGAAGTGAGCAAATTCAAAGCTGTATTAGGTATATTAACTCTACAAAAATCATATATTATATGCATGTTTTATTCTATCTCTGCAGTTTTTTAACAAAATTGAACATCAACCAGATTTCCTTCTCATTAAGTCTGATGTTTGTATAATAAAATCATATAGTAAGTTAACCAGGCATATCAAATATGGTTAAGACACTGATATACATTGTACTAGATGGGTTCTAGAGAAGGCCATCTATTGGTGTAATTATGTCGCTGGTTGTGTTAGGATGAGGTGACCGACTTAGAGACGCTGGTGGAGGGACGTATCAGGGGAGGAGGCTGCTGTAAAATTGTCCTCTGAGGAGGAATCAATCTGTCAAAAGAAACATCAAGGTCACAGGGTGTAGTCATAAATAAAAGTTCCAGTAATCATCATAGAACAATCAACTTAGGCTTCTGATATACAATATTCATTCATACATGTAACAAAAAGGTGTCAAAATCTATTACAAGGGTTTACATTAGGTATCTGTTATGGTGTTCTGACAACAACATGCTACCAATTTATCAAGAAACATAAAGTCAGTTTGAAAGTTATGGAAAAAAAATTGTAACTAAAGAGTACATATTTAATAGGGAACCTTTCTCTTCCTTTGCATAAAATGGATTTATTAAAATTTTTATGTGAAAAATACTGAAGCCTTTAAGTCATAGAGTGACTTTCCCCCTAAGTGATAAATAACAAGATCAGGAAATAATATCAATAATACCAAAGTTGAACATTGAAAAGTGTTGAGACCTTTATCAAATAAATCTTTCACCAACAAACCATTTTATTTCATTGTCAAAGTGTCATAAATTCAACACTGTTCTTTCAGGTTCATTTATGTATCTTTGATGGTGATCTTGACGTTGAAAATACTTCTTAGGCTAAGATTGCTTAATACTCTAAACTTAGTTACCTTGGAGAGAAAAAATGTGTTGGTACATGTGTACCTTAATTTTCAATATACTGGTACATGTATCACTGCATTATGATGCTTGCCAAGTAATCTATTGTAACCTTGCATTTTCACCCTTGCAATGAAGACATGACAAACACTGCATGAATGTCCATTCATTAATCAGACTGACACCTACCATAGCCCTATCCTAGCCCAAGGAACCACAATATAAAATAAATTTACAGAACGATGCTTTAATTGTTTATTATGTTCCCCAAACGAAGTTGGGGAACATATTGTTTTTACTCTGTTTCTTATTATTATTATTCTTATTATTTTTCTTCCTGGGAAAATTTTGTCCGCGAGTGATCTTGTAAACTACACATTCGACTTAGGTGAAACCTTTTTAGGGTAAGTAGGCATGTTATGTAGATTTGCGGAATCAATGTCATTTTGAGCGCACGTGCTTGCAAGAGCGTGCACGTGCAAAACTTGAAATGACCAATATATAATGGATATAACCGTAACTTTTCTATTTTTAGACGAAATGTTTTGAAACTCATAATGTAAGGATATATGAGTAGTATGCACAAGATGACATGGTCAAAATAGCAAGATCGCACGTGCAAGCACGTGCGCTTCGCTCTGATTGGCTGAAACTAAAGTCTCAATATCTTTCTTGTTTTTTGACGAAATCCTTTGAAATTTAAAACATAGGCATGTATTAGGATATCCTACAATAAATAGCAATTATCATGAAAACGCGTGCCTGCACGTGCGCTGCAATCTGATTGGCTTATGCTATAAATAGCTATAACTCCCTTGGTTTTCAACCAAACAGGATGGGATTTGGAACATGAATAGATATAATAGACTTCTACAAGAAGATATGGTCACCATGTACATGCATACACGTGCTTGTACGTGCGCTGCAATCTGATTGGCTGAAACTTTGAACAGCTATAACTCCCTTGGTTTTCAACCAAACGGGGTGGGATTTAGAACATAGATAGATGTAATGGACTTCTACAAGAAAGTATGGTCGCCATGCTCATGTGAGCACGTGCGTGCACGTGAAATGAGTAAATCAAAAATACACTTGAATTAGCGTATTTTTTAATTCTTTTGGATTAAATACTTTGATATTTAGTATATTAAAACCTATAGATTCTGAAGACAAGATTATATGGTCATTGCGCACGTGCATTCACATGCACACGCGTGCAATGCTAAAATTTGAATGAAATTGGTACGCTTCTGGGTAAACGTTGTTAAAGTCTCAAATGCATAGAGTTTGTCTTATTTAATGAAGCTTATAGGGAATATGGCACCGAAAGGGAGTTGGGGAGCGTTTGGGGAACATCCGTAACGGTCCCCGTTACAATTAGCACTAGTTATTATTATTATTATTCTTTTTTCTTCTTATTTCTTCTCCGGTACTTTTTTGTCCGGAAGTGTTCTCAGAAACTGTTCACCAAACTAAGTTAAAACCTTTTTAGGGTTAGTAGGCATGTTGTGTAGATGTGCCGAACGAAGGTCATTTTGCGCGCATTCGCATGCACGTGCGGGCGCGTGCAATGAGTAAAATGACTGATATATTTAATATGGTTGTAACTTTTATATTTTTTGATAAAATGTTTTGAAACTCATTATATAAAGATATATAAGATGTGTAGATAAGATGACATGGTCAAATTCGCATGAACTCACGCGCATGCATGTGCGCTTTGCTCTGATTGGCTGAAACAAAAATCTTAATATCTTTTTTGTTTTATGATGAAATGCTTTGAAATTTATAACATAGACATGTATTAGGACGTACTACAATATGATATATAAAATTTTTCATGAAATCACGCGCATGCACGTGCGCTGCAATCAGATTGGCTGAAACTTTAAATGACTATAACTCCCTTGGTTTTCAACCAAACAGCATGGGATTTAGAACATAGATAGACATAAAGGACTCCTACAAGATGGTATGGTCACCATTCACGTGCGTGCACGTGTGCTTTGTTCTGATTGGCTGTGAACAAAAATCTCAATATCTTTTATGTTTTTTTACAAAATGCTTTGAAATTTAAAACATAGGCATACTTTAAGATGTCCTATGATATGATATATAATAATTTTCATGAAAACACGTGCATGCACGTGCGCTGCAATCTGATTGGCTTAAACTTTAAATGGCTATAACTCCCTTGTTTTTCAACCAAACAGGATGGGATTAACAACATAGACAGACAAAATGGACTCCTACAAGAAGGTATGTACATCATGCACGTGCATATGAGTAAAATAGTGTAGACAAGATGATATCGTCATTACGCTCATATAATCACATGCGCACACCTGCATTGCTTAAATTTGAAATACTTGGTATACTTTTGGAAAAACGTTGTTACGTTTAAATGCATAGATTTTGCTTTCTTTAATGAAAATGACAGGGAATATGGCACGAGAAGGGAGTTGGGGAGCGTTTGGGGAACATCTGTAACGGTTCCCGTTACAATTAGCACTAGTTAGGTTTGATTCTTCATAACTTAAGTTGATTCACAAGATAACAAGGTAAGCAAAGAAATGTGACATAAGAAGAAAAGTTAAGTCAATATTCTTCTCGATTTTTCTCCATGACATTTGAATGTGTGCTGTAAACATACTTTTACACATGTCATGATTCTGCAGTTACAGTTTCTGTTCAATGCATGGGAACAAAATGATCCCAATTTTTAGACTGACACTGCATGTTCCTCATGTCAGTGCACTGAGACCATTTCTGCACAAGAAATTGTGACCACGTACAAAACACAAATTAATCCAGCGTAAGTAAAAATATGTACACAGTATTTTATGGCATTCAAGTTCAATCCTGATATTGTCACATTTATAACTGATTCATAGATCAATTAAAGGCACAGAAGTTAAGTTTAGACAGGAAATATAATGACTACAGCTACTACCAGAATAAACAAAACAAATAAATATACAGAAATTTGTATGGGAGATATTTCAAAAGTTGATGCTTGATGTGACTGAAGATTTGAATGGAATGACATGATAGATCTACAATTGTCCTACCTAGTAGGCTATAAATGATGGCCAGCATCAACTTTCCATGGGCTGTGGGCTGGTATAAAAGAGAAAACAAATGAAAGCAAACCCAAAAGCACATCAAAAAGAGGCAAAACAAAACAAAATGATATAGAATAAAACAAACTAGTTCATAGAGATGAAAGAGACAGCTTTCATACCTTGACTGCTGTGTAATTTGAGGAACCTTGAGTCCTGGGGCCTGGGGTTGTTTCAGTAGGGGAGGAGGGGCTGTAGAGGAGGCTGGGGAATTAGTACTGGTGGTAGAGTCCTCCACTCCATTGACCTCTTCCTTCAACTCAACCTCCATCTTAATAATTATAACAGTTAATAATAAAATAGTGAAAAGTTTTTCATCGATATTTATACGTACATGTATAATCCCAAGACATTTAACTTGAAATATATAGTTATTTAGAATTGTTATAACTGACCATTGTATTTTAAAATCAATGAAGACATAAAGTTCACCTTTTCTTCCTCTTTTTCGTCAGTGTCCAGCTTGTCTGAGGAGTCAGTTTTTCCATGCTCTGCTTCGTATTCAGCGAGAACTTCATCCAGGTTGTAGCGTCTTCTAAAATTGACAAAGAAGCTACGGACATGAGCTTCTGTTTTATTTCCAATTACCTCTGCAATTGCTTGAAAATCTTTTCCATATTTACGCACACCTGTCAAAAAAAAAAATTAGTTGACAATGATATTTTTTTAAATTTATACACATAAATAAAAGTATTATATAACCCCATTATATTTATTACCAAAGGCCAAGGTCTGAATGAGGACCTTGACATTATATTCTTTTCATGACTATTTTTTTTCTACTGTCAATATGGAGAAACGTACTCTTATTTACATGGACCATTGCCATAAAGTATGGTTACTATATTGACATGCTTGCCACATGGGATTAAATTTATTTTATCCAGACAAATGCCAACAGACTGTTAGCCCCAAAAAGAAAGATCAATTACCGTATTCGGCCGAGTATAATACGCATTGATGTAAAATATGCACCCCTCTTTTTGAGTTTAAGCAACAGAAAATTTTACTAAGCGATGTTCTGAACTTTGAATTTTGTTACGAAAATCAGCACAAAGATTAAGTGTAAAAAATTTACAGAACACACTTTTTTCAAATACACATTTATCATTTTCTCTTATTCCTGAATTTCTATATCGCGGCAATCTGGAGAAAATTATTTATTCATTTATTTCAACGAGGCACAAGATAATGTTGTGTAAAAGTATTAAGAGTCATTCTCTGTAAGGACCACAGATGCCGTTCAAACGAATACCACAGATTTTAATAAAACATATATGAAAAAATTAGGAATGTGTATGAGATTAATTAGGTATATTTAAAATTTTGAGATGTGACCTATCCTCCAGGTTATGGCCCCCTAACACATTTTGTGGCTACCCCCATGTTTGAAAAGGTCAGTTTTCTCCTAATTTGACATAAAAAATTCAAAATAAGTAATGCACTATGGTTGGATTAAGTGCATTAAATTGTGAAAACAAGGTGTGAAGTAAAGATAAAAAATTATTTTGCTTCATCACTAACTCCCCTTTTTATTTTAAAGAAATTTAATTTCCTCCTATTTTTAACCCTTAACCAACACGCTAAATAACCATACTTTCAGTGCCATTTTATAAAAAATCCCAAGATAGGTTTATAAAATATTAACAATATTTTGAAAGCAAACATACTTGATTATTTATTCATAATTATTCTGGATGTGTGTTTTTTGCTTTAAAAAAATAAAATGCATTTGAAAATTTTAAAAAACTAGCATTTCACAAAAATATTATCTCCCTTTGTAGAACTCTCTAGTTCCGACAGTGAAAGAAGGTAAAAACAAAAGTATTTGTAAGCATGACGATTTGCCGGTTTGGAGTTCCTTTTCACAAACGATGTGTTTTACTGATATTTTTATACAAAACTGCTTAGATTATACAGTATAGATTCCTTGGCAGATGTGATATTGTTTATTCTGAAGACAGTCAACAACTCGTGAGTTTTAGCAATGGCCATGTATTGTCTAAAGTAGGTCGTATGCCATGTGTTACACTTGCAAAATTATTTAGTAAATACAGTGAATGACTATCGAATGTGGACGTTATTTTAACTTTTCTTCAAAATAAAATACAAAGAGGTGAAGAAGGAAGTTTTGTCAAATTCCAAATCTTCTAAGTTCACACCTGCATATTGAAAACACCAGAGGAGATGGACCAAGAATTCCCCTCCAAACAGAACATGTGAAAATTTGAAAGCAGGTCAATTGATTGGTCAAGCCGGTGCAACGCTACCAGTGTTATACACCATGCATGTACTCGTAAGTAACTACAATTTCTGATACACAATATAATAATATTTGTTCGTAGAGTTATGAGTAGATGAAATTATTGAAAAAGAATTAAATCGAAATGAATGTAAAAAGGTACAGTCCAAAGACTATACTAAAGCATTTCTATCTATATGTGTAGGTCTTAGAAGTGGGTAAAATAGCTACTTTGGGTAGCTTTAACCTACATACATGTACATTGTAGCTATTAATAGCTATGTGGGTAGAATAAGAAATAATCTTTGGACTTGACCTTGTAAATTTCATTTTCCTTGTTCATCTTGAACACTCTATAATGATGTAGGCATTTAAAGTTTAACAAGATATTAATTAAAAAGTTTCTCCAATTTGAATTATTGTACACAGTTATTTATTTTAGACCTGTCAACATACAAAACTAAATAAAAAGTACCGTTAAATATGTGGTGAATGGCAAAAAAAATTAACAACTCATTCTTATATACCGTATAAGTAGAATTTTTAGCGAGGATTTAATTTTGCATTATTAGCGAGGGTCCTGAGATCGCTAAAATTAAATATCGCTAAAAATTAATTGCATTTTTATTTTCAATAGCTTTTTTAGTAAGCATTTTAAAATCGCTAAAATTACATCTCGCTGAAAATGAATTACCATTTTTTAAGGAGAAATCGCTAAATTTGCGTCTCGCTAAAATTTCCACTTATACGGTAATTGTGCTTTAATTAGTACCTGTAAGGAATTGAATTATTTTTATGAAAATATACAATTTATTGTAGCATGCTGCTGTGTGACCAAGTGAGGGGCATCACAAGGAAGGGGAAGATATTTAGATCATTCATGGAGCCTTCAACATCGTATTAAAACCAAATTATAATAATAAAGAGGTATAGTGTCCATGTACTATAATTTTGACCCAATAGCCTTGACTTCTATATCTTTCAAGAAATTAGACATTGGTAATAAATTTTGAAGGATAGAGGATACAGCTTTCATGTTCCATATATACATTAACTACTATTATTGACCCACTTTTCAAGGCATGTAAACGTTCTGTGATGTTCCAATTTCTACCCATCTGAAATCATCCTAATTATTCTATACAAATATTTTTTACTTCAAATTCAATTTTTGTGCAACTTTGAATAAGAAATTAAAAAAAAACTACACTGTAAAACTTATTCATTTTATTCATTAAAACATGACCCAAGTTGTTATTTTCAAAAATTTTGACAAGAGTTTCTACCACTTTCCTTAAGAAACCTCTCTACACTGAACACTAAAGAGTTATGATTCTGTTCTATTTATCTGCCCTTAGATTTAAATGCCAATAAATATACATTTACACTATATTACTCAGTTTATAATCAAATCAAGTATTCTTAACATTTTAAAAGGGCAAGATAGTTTAAATTCTAAATTATAAACATGTTGTTTACATGTATCTTCTCCATAGAAGTAAATAGCAATTATTTCTACTGATACTGTGTTGTGTTTGAACATTTTTTTCCTGGGGTTAAATGCCATGTATCATGTATTGAAAATGAAATAGAGAAGCTTATTATTTACATCTTTATTCAATATAATTTTCGCAAAGTCCAAAAATCATTTTACACTCGTGTAGAGAGGATGTATGACCTATTACATATACAAGTGTAACTGTTTTCATGATCCAATTGGTTCCTTTAATCATTTTTAGCTCTACTGGTCAAAGACCAGAAGAGCTTATGCGATAGTAATGTGTCCGTCGTCTGTTTGTCTGTCTGTATGTCTGTCCATCTGTAAACAGTTTTTCAAAATGCTACTCCTCCTACAGTTTTGGTCTGATTTCAATATAACTTGGCACACAAGTAAACTACAATAAGATAAATAATTCTGTGTATCTGTTTTTGTCATTATTCTATTGATTGCTTTTGTAAATGTCCCAACTGCTAGTTTTCTCTTTCTTTATTATATGTACAAACCAGTAGAGCTACAGTCTTGACAGAGATTTCTGGTTAACTTAAGTCTTGTATTATCTACCTGGTAAATCTAAATACTTGTATTGTCTATTACAGAACTCAAGAAGCCAGAGTTTTACATTTAGTCATGACCAGTCATGACATTCAGCAAATGAATGAGTATCTGATGAAAATTAGTGCGAGTTTTCAGAGAATGGGAGATACCGTCGGGACACCTTCACTAAGCCTGCTAAATTATACTACAACAATATAATGACAAACATTGCTGTTATTCTCCCAAAGAACATCAAAGAAATAGTGAAGTCTTACAGTATCTGAAGAAAATCCTAGTCTTGCCTAGTATTATACCTGAGGGAAGTTTTGACCACTTATCCTGAAGTTATTCATGCATAATAACATGGGTCCACTATTCACTACTATGAATATGCTTCAAATAATTTTAAAAAAAGAATTTAATAATGTACATTCTTAAATAAAAGATAAAAAGTGTATAAACAGTAGTCTCATTGCATGTAAAATGATAATTCCATTCTTTGTTACAATTATTGAATTTTTATAAAATTGACAAAAAAATTAAAGAAATCTATGTCAAAAGTGTCTATTATTATTTTCAAGGCTTAAGGATAACGTTTACTTGGATGACAAAAATATTAACTGATAAAAGTGAAAAACCACCTATTGTACATCTATGTAATTATTCACTTAAGTATGTCATTGCCCTACTATTCCTGCTAATGGCTCTTGGGTACCGTATAAGTAGAAATTTTAGCGAGGATTTAATTTTGGCATTATTAGCGAGGGTGCCGAGATCGCTAAAATTGAATATCGCTAAAAATTAATTGCGTTTTATTTGTAATAGCTTCTTTAATGTGCATTTTAAAATCGCTAAAATAACATCTCGCTAAAATAAATTACCAGTTTTTAAGGACAAATCGCTAAATTTGCGTCTCGCTAAAATTTCCACTTATACGGTATTTCATAGAAAATATATAATTATTTTTCACAATATGACCAAGATTTGCCCCCCCCCCCTAATATTTTGCCAATATGTAGAATTCTATAATAAACATAGCTACTCTATGCTTGTGCCCCCTCACAAAATACGTCTAATGATCTTTTGTCCTTATTTTGCTTTCTAGAAATTTTTGGTAGTTTTCACTGAGAATGTATGGTTGTGCCCCCCCCCCCTTCCAACTGAAATTGCCTCTTACGAGCCTGCAATCAAGTTGAAAATCTGAATGACAGGAACTCTTATTACTTACATGTATGGTCTCATTTTACTTTTGTTGTCCTTATTCTGCTGGTATTATAATTTTATGAGCTCAATAATCAAATTATTTAGATATGTTGCTGTGAATGGTTTGTGTTCAACAGTATACATATATATTTTTGAAATTCTTCATTGTGTATCAATCAATTACAAGTATATGAAATAATGTTTGAGCTTTAATATAAATTGATAATTGAAAAAGTTATTTAAAAAAAAATAATTAGCCCGAGCTTTCTCTGCACACCATAATCTTTTATATTTTGTTTGAAAAAAATAATAATAAATAATAATCTTTTAATTTTCAGATTTATTTTCAGTTATCAATTGTTTATTTAGTCCATTTAAACCATTTTGGATTAAACATGTTGTACTTTATAGCATTCTGTTTCTGTAATCAGAAATCCTGACTTAAGGTCATCCAGTCAATTCCTGAAAATGTGGAGAAGCAATTATACTACATGTATATATATTCTTCAGTTAACTTTGAACTCTTGACCTTAGCCTTACGTTGTGATAGAGTTAATAAATTAACTTTTCATCGACTCTTTTTTTTCAGCTAAATTTGTAACAAATACGTTTAATAGCTGAAGAAGATAAAATTTGAGTCATAGAACAGGTGTCATTAATCCCCAGCCTTTTCCTCATAAAAAAAAAGGGGGGGGGGGTAAATTGAAATATCTGTGTATTACTTTTATATCTTAAATATATCTACATTTCATTTAAAGAATTGATTAGTAGCATGATTAATATACACGTCAGTATTGTTAAAATTTAGCCACAAAAGTGATTTTGAACCGATAAAAACATGAAATGAAAAAAAATCCCATGATCCCTGTTAACCACTGCTATGTTGCTATCCGCCCCTAAAATGATACATTTTCATTCATTTTTATCATTTAATTCTCTGTTAAGGTTGTTTTACATAAACAATGTCCTCAAAAGAGAAAAACAAACTCTACAAAATATACCATATACAATGTATAACGCAGTTTTCCAATTCATATCTGAGGAAATTCGGGATTATGGGTTATTTTCATTTTGATATTTCCCGAGTTATCTGAAAAACACATGTTTGGAATCTATATGAAATGAAAGACTATAGTATAGATATTTGGAATAAACAAGAAGTTTAAAAAACCTATCTTGGAATTTAAAGATAAATGTAATTGAAATAGAGGGTAAAATGGATTTTTCTGCATTTTGAAAAAATCATGAAATTTGATATTTTTAGCCTTCTATCAGCTTGAAACGCCTCAGGCAAAAGATGTAATTCTTAATTATTTTAATTATTTAAGAATGCATAAAATAAATTATATAATTGAAAGTGGTCATATTTTTCGTGTTTAAAGGGAATGTTGGGGTTAAAAATGCTATATTTGATGAAATAGAACCTGTCAAAATGGCCATATTTGTGTTAGTTACGGTTGCCATGGCAACGGACACCCCGAAACATGAACTAAGGTGGTTTTCGCAGTTAGACACCTGAGTACACTCTAAATACAAAAAATTACGTATTTCGGAGACATTCGTTTTTACGGCCTCCTTGGATTCTTTGGTTTTTACAGAGAATGACTCTTAACAGAGTTTTTTTTTTTTTTAAGCATATGGTGATTTTGAAATAATATACGTCGCCATATTCTTTGGTGAAATAATTTTATTTCAACAAAGCATGAGATATTGTTGCAAGTTTTAACAGTTGTCATATTTAATTTTGGTTCTAGGTAATCATGCTGAAAATTATGTTACTAACAATACTTTAACAGGACACAAGATTGAAACATCAAAGTATTAAGAAGACTACAATTCTCCTATTTTGAATATTCGCAGATATCTTATTTTCTACAGGGCATGAATAACTGATAACACTAAAGTTTTAGCATACTTCATATTTCAATTGTCATCTCTCAATCAGTTAAAGAAGAGGCCAATAAGTATAAGATTCTCAATCAGTTAAAGAAGAGGCCAATAAGTATATGATAAGGTAAAATAACATTTAACAAGTGTTTAATTGTTTAATGTGTCGTAATCAACACAAACAGTCATAAACCGACCCCCGATTTTTAACAAAGAAAATAATCAAAGCAATTAAAAGGACAGTAAATAATCAGTGCTCTAACTGTAAAAACATTGCTTTGGAGTTGGTAGACAATCAATTGCCAGGAGGGGTGTTGAGAGGTAATTATGCGACCAGCTCACATGTTCACAACATTGGCTTCCTTTCATTGGGACGTATAGAGGGGTGTTTATGTTGCAGTGAATTTTCACCGAGTTGTTTAAAACCTATAATAAATTTGTATTTTATTGCATTTCATTAAAAAAATGTCTTATTACTTTGTCTGGCAGATTAGGTACATGTGTACTATGATTACGGAAGCATGTGGCAAAGGAATGTGTGAACGTCTAAACATAACATTGGTAATGGCGGCCTACACGGAGAAGATAAACATGCAGCTCAAATTAATTTTAACTTGCTTTTCATGTCATTTTAGTATCAAAAGATTATGAAAGTGACATTTTTAAACAAGCATACTTTCCAACAATAACTTTCCAAAGTTTAAGATATGGCGATAAACAAAAGAAGTTGCATATGTATCTAGGTAATACTACGGTATGTACGTATGATAGCCGTGTTTCACCTGAAAGAAAAACTTATCAAAATCCCATTGTGATGTAAAATATGCACCCCTTTCTATTTCATTATAATTATTATAAATAATTATTTCAATAGTGGTCATATTTCAATAGTGGTTAAAAACTATGTTTGCTATTGAAATGCACTCTCAACCACTATTGATATAATTATTTCAATAGTGGTCACTATTTCAATAGTGGTTGTAACAACGGTATCACAAAGCCAAAAACTGTTGTGCCAGGTTGAGCAATTTTGCAGATTTTCCAGAAAGAAAGCCAACTTTTAATAAATGCATGCCTAGAAATATAAACTCATGAAAATGATGAACAGATTATAAGATTAAGAACTCAACAGAGACTTTGACTATGATAATTTATATGATTTAATACAAATAAAGTCTTCACAACTTTAACTACAAAAAAATACAACCTTGAACAGCAAGAAGAAGTTCTTCATTTGTCCATCGAGCATTGATTCTAGGGTTTGTCTACAGAAAAACAAAAATATCTAATATTTTACAGCCTTAAAAAGTGAAATAAATGAGAGAAAATGACTATAGGACAACTGGTGTCCTAAGATTTGTTCCTTGCCTACCTCTGGTGGTTTGACATCATCAATTCCAGCAGCCATCTTGTGTTTCTGAAGACTGAGCATCTGTTTATGATTCTGAACCTGAAATAAGAAGATGGTAATTATTTCCAATACTATTTTTGTAACATATTTTCTTATAAACCTAGGTCTTAGACTAAGGTCCAATTATAGTAATGGCATCTAAAATTGGGTCAAATGAACAGTATACATTTAAGATTTCATTCAATATATTTAAAATCAGATGTGCTAGCTTCCTGCCTTGTACCTACAATGCACCCTATAAAATACGTGTAAATTTACACTTTTATCTCACATCTTTGGAAGTCAGTCTAGTACTAATAACTATGACATATGATGGACATTTATTAAATGTTACCTGTCTTTTCAGGGAAACCAGTTCCTGATCTAATGATTTCAGCAGAGCCTCGGCTTGGCCTTGAGGACCATTAACAATGACCTGTAAATCTTCATAGTTCAGGAACATGCCTCTGGGGGGCTTTCTCTTGTGCTTCATTGGATTATGTCGATGCTGTCCATGGTCATGTCGTTTAGGTCCTGCCGTTCGCATCACTCCTGTTCTTCTGTAAAAAAGGAGGATTGTTTGTAAATTTTTAGCTCTCAATTTTTTATAATCATTTATTCATTCTGCATGGAATAAATTTCTGATCTTGTAAATATAAGAATATTACTTTTATTCTAAAAATATATAAAGGGTGATAAGAAAATCCATCTATGTTAAGCAAGTTTAGAAATAAACTCTAGCAATGGTTTATCAATTTTTCAACAAACAATCAACCCACTTTTAAACCTCAAATTTACATTAAATAATGTTTGACTTTGAAATACTAGCAACATTTTTGTCTAGTATGTCTCTGGTGCTTTAAAGTTGCAGCTAGAACAATGATTCAATACTTTTGTACCCTGTGTCCTTAATCCTTGATCTCGGCATGATTTTGTTTGCTGTAAGGTGGGTTTATGAAGCTTAATTTATTAACTATAAAGCAATTAATGGGAAAACAAAATTTTAACCCTATTTATGGACCTTCTAAACATTTATGTTTCAAATAATAATAAAAAAAATTATGACAATACCTCCAATACTGATAACACGAGTTACACAAGGATCCTTTGGGAGTTATATGGAGTTGTGTTGTACGAATGCCACAGTTCCCACAGGTGTCTTTCTCTTCTTTCTATTGATATATTTATCCAAGATCAACAAATAAAAGTGCATGAAATCTCAATAGTTTGTGACATCACAGAGATAAAAATCTTTACACTTTTCTCTCTATCAATAATGCATCTTGTAAATTCAATCTTTATAAATATATACGATTGTGTACATTTCAAGAGATTTTCAAAATTTCCTCTGTATTTAAAATGATAATATATATATTTGAGGACTGCAACACTAGACACTGGTCTGTGACAAATGGGCTTCTGTAGAAAATAGAAGAAGAGTAAACAATGACACACAAATTTACCCCATTCTCTTTAGGAGTTTCTTCATCATCACCAGAGCGTTTTCCATTGGAATCGGACTCTTCATCACTGAATGACAAAAATATTCAACATAAATCACTTCTTTACAAGGATTTGGAGTAGTTCACACATGATATGATGATAATAAAGAAAAGAAAACATCAATATTTCACAATTTATGATGCAATTAAAGGGAGCTAATAAGTACCTGTCTCCTGTCTTGTTCAACTTTTTGGCCTGCTTGTCCATTAGACTTGTGCGAGATCGAGTCTTCTTCCAGGAGTAGTAATACTTGACTAGACTTGCTATGGATTTGTCTGGTAACTTGAATGAAAAAAAATAATTATAAGGGAATTTATGGGAAAGAATGTAAAATGATTGCCTAGTGGAAACTTAGTGGTTAGATACATTAAGACAAAGGACAAATAGGAGATTCCCAAGAAAACCAAACCTATAATTAGACACTATAATATTAGATTAGAATGTTCTATCATTTCAAGATATTTTCCAAAGGACCATTTAACAAAAGAATTCATTCCATAAGTTAGCAATGTAGCAAAATAAACAGTGTAAGATACTGTATTCTACAGACTTCCTATGAATAATTCTGAGTTCTAAATGTGCGAAAATTCAAAATGAGATAAAACTTTGAGAAAATGAGCTGAATATTTGTCATTTCATGATATTTTTTTTTTTGGTAAAAAGGTAAAAACAATCTCAAAGAAGGTTGTTACATGAATTTTTTAAAAACTTATTTTCAGTGCAACATATATTTGTATTTGTCGCAACCACTTCTGATTGGGTCCATTTCCATTTGCTACATTGCAATTACATGGGACATATTATAACTGTGGTGAGGGCTTGTCAGGACACAGTTAGATTATTCCAACTAGTTCTAAATATATAAAAGTTTACATGACATATGACATTAAAGAATAATGTACTTACCATTTGCCTAATTCTGTGGAAACTCTTTCCATGGAAGCTAAATGCTTGCTCAAATAAAACTTTATCCTCCACTGTCCATTCATCAGGGAATGGGGTAAAATTAGGTAAATCTGCTAGAGCCTTTTCTATGTTATGCTTATGCCAAAATAACATCCCAAGTGCCTGGAAATTCAAGAAGGATTATTGGAATTTCTGGGGAATTCTTGTTCAAAAATGTTGAAAAAGTGACACATCTAGAGACCTGTATACGTTTTAATTTCAGAAGTGCAATTACTTTCTAATTATGATGAGAGTTTGGGGATAAAAATGTAAAACTTCATATTTTCCTATTTTGGTGATTACTGTAATTCATATTTTTTAGTAAATAAGCCTATTATTTGTTTTGTATCGTATAACAATGAAAGAAAACGTTTCTGACATTGTCTATGAGTTGTAAAACACAGGTATTTTATCAAATGCAGACTTATCAAACTTATCTGAACCTTACACAATGATACATTTTACTAATTGCAGTATCATATAATCATAAAGGGTTAAATAGCAGTTTGAATAAGCAGTGGTTTTTCTTTTTCTGAATCTTCATCATGTTAATTTTCATAAAATTTACAATACATTTTAAAGTCACAGGGAATGAAAATTACTTCGCTGTAAGTGTCAATTTGTTATAAGTAGTTAACTTTAGTGTGGTTTATTGTATGTTACCTGCTCTGTATTATATCCATGTTTCTCTTTTGCAATGTTGACATACTCATCAACTAAAAGCAAATCAAACGAAAATATTTTTAAAATCACATTTCCAAAGTCAATTAAATCGTTTATTACCCCTGGTACATTGTACTATAATTTTGGATATTATTAGATACTAATAGCCGAGTCAGATACTCACCTTTTCCATCTGAGAGATCTATGGCTGGAGCCCATACAAGGATGGCATCATTCCTAGGATCTGGCTTTATCTCTATTTGTAAGATACAGATAAAAAAAAATACATATATTTCTAATGATTTTCTTAACTTTAATGACAAAATTAGGATAAGTCTTTTTTCTTTCTACTTTTTTTTAATAAACTGACCTGGTTTGTATTCTGGAACTTTAGCTTGATAGTCATTTCCTACACGCATTCCACCTCCCTCTGAAAAAGTCATGTTTTTAAAAGTCATGATACCATGGTTTCACACTAAGGCACGTCCGACTGACCCAGTCTAGTAAATATGTGGTTTGGTCGTGTGGAATGTACTTGAGCTAGACCGACTTGTGGATAAAATAAATGTGCATCCTCATTTCAGACTTTCAAATAAATATTATAAACACTTTTAAGGAAGCTCTAAACACCAACAGAAACTGCTTTTTGGACTTGGAGAAAAATGTACCATATAAAGCTGTGCATACTGAAACTTTTTCATTCATTTATAACATAGGGTACCTGCTTTTTTCTGCAGGAATAATGTTCAAAGACAATGGACTATTTGTAAGCAGAAATCACTGCTGTTTACTAACATTAGAGAAATTAATAAAAATAATGAATTAAATTACTTATGCTTGGTCTTATATAATGCTGGAAATACTTTAATCTAATAAAAATCGTGTGATTAACTGTAAATAACAATTTTTATAATTTTACTTCTAAGGGCAGATCACTCTAATTGCATAAAACTACCCTATTATTGGAGCTCTTTAGTGTGCAGTGTTTAGAGTGTCCTTGAAGAAATTTTCTCATATGTCCGATTGTAAAGCACAGCCATTTGTTAAAAACTTCCTGACATGACACAATCACTATTTTTAGCCATACGGTACTAGAAAAGTTGCATCGAAGCAAGCTTAATCAGTATTAAATGGTTTAAATAATTACTGAATAATGTATTCTTTAATTAATTTATTTTATGAAATATAACTGTTACATGTATTTTATTCAAGGTCATTGAATTACTTTTAAAGCATAAAATTTTCATGTCCTGATTAACCAGACTCAATTGTCTGCGACCTATCACATCGTCAGTGAAAATAAATTTTGACATATGCTAGAGATGTCTTTATTTCTGTACATTTTCATATTTGTCCAATACGCAAGTTTCGAGATTATCTCCCTTGGTGCGCTTTTTTGTTGAGGAGGGGAGTTTCGTTGCTGCGGAACAGACAGGTGGGGCAGATATTTATATACTGGATACATTGCATCTTCGATATACTGGTTTATCATCACTACATGATTGTTAGGATGTACTCTACAACTCGAGAATAACGGAATTAATGTAAAGACATCATTTTTTTAAAGCAAATAATTCATAACAAAAGAAAATATCAGTGGATGTGAGACTTTTCAGGCCAGGGAAGAGATATGGACATCTAATAAATACGGTACACATGCATCTGATCATTGCACATCGGCAATCTAAATGAAATATTGAATATTTTCCTTATTATAACTTTTTAACAAGAGGCCCATGGGCCACATCACTCACCTGAGCACTAAGGGTAGGAAAAAGTAGAAAATGGCTTTTTATTGTAAAATTTAAATCCAAAAGTAGTCCCATGACCAATCATGGATTTGCTATTTTTTAGAAAATGATTTTTAAAGAATTTTCCTATATATATCTTTAAAAACTTTGGTCGGCCATTTTGGCCCCGCCCTACCCCTGGGGGTCATGATTTGAACAAATTTGAATCTACACTACTTGAGCATGCTTCCATATAAATATGATGAATTATGGCTTTGTCATTCTTGAGAAGAAGATTCTTAAAGAATTTTTCTATATATTTCTATGTAAAACTTTGGTCGGCCATTTTGGCCCCGCCCTACCCCCGGGGGTCATGATTTGAACAAACTTGAATCTACACTACCTGAGCATGCTTCCATATAAATATGATGAATTATGGCTTTGTCATTCTTGAGAAGAAGATTTTTAAAGAATTTTCCTATATATTTCTATGTAAAACTTTGGTCGGCCATTTTGGCCCTGCCCTGCCCCCGGGGGTCATGATTTGAACAAACTTGAATCTACACTACCTGAGCATGCTTCCATATAAATATGATGAATTATGGCTTTGTCATTCTTGAGAAGAAGATTTTTAAAGAATTTTCCTATATATTTCTATGTAAAACTTTGGTCGGCAATTTTGGCCCCGCCCTACCCCGGGGGGTCATGATTTGAACAAACTTGAATCTACACTACCTGAACATGCTTCCATATAAATATGATGAATTATGGCTTTGTCATTCTTGAGAAGAAGATTTTTAAAGAATTTTCCTATATATTTCTACGTAAAACTTTGGTCGGCCATTTTGGCCCTGCCCTGCCCCCGGGGGTCATGATTTGAACAAACTTGAATCTACACTACCTGAACATGCTTCCATATAAATATGATGAATTTTGGCTTTGTCATTCTTGAGAAGAAGATTTTTAAAGAATTTTCCTATATATTTCTATGTAAAACTTTGGTCGGCCATTTTGGCCCCGCCCTACCCCCGGGGGTCATGATTTGAACAAACTTGAATCTACACTACCTGAGCATGCTTCCATATAAATATGATGAATTATGGCTTTGTCATTCTTGAGAAGAAGATTTTTAAAGAATTTTCCTATATATTTCTATGTAAAACTTTGGTCGGCCATTTTGGCCCCGCCCTACCCCGGGAGGTCATGATTTGAACAAACTTGAATCTACACTACCTGAACATGCTTCCATATAAATATGATGAATTATGGCTTTGTCATTCTTGAGAAGAAGATTTTTAAAGAATTTTCCTATATATTTCTATGTAAAACTTTGGTCGGCCATTTTGGCCCCGCCCTACCCCCGGGGGTCATGATTTGAACAAACTTGAATCTACACTACCTGAGGATGTTTCCCCATAAGTTTCATCTTTCCTGGCACAGTGGTTCTTGAGAAGAAGATTTTTAAAATATGCCACTAAATTTTCATTAATTCCCAATTATCTCCCCTTGAATGAGGGCGTGGCCCTTCATTTGAACAAACTTGAATCCCCTTCACCCAAGGATACTTTGTGGCAAGTTTGGTCAAAATTGGCCCAGCAGTTCTTGAGAAGAAGTCGAAAATGTGAAAAGTTTACAGACAGACAGACAGACAGACGGACAGACGGACAGACAGACGGACAGACGGACAGACGGACGGACAAAATGTGATCAGAAAAGCTCACTTGAGCCTTTGGCTCAGGTGAGCTAAAAGCAAGAGGCCCATGGGCCACATCGCTCACCTGAGCACTGTGGTTATGAAAAAGTAGAAATTGGTTTAGTATTGAAAAGTTTAAATCCAAAAGTAGTCCCATGACCAATCATGGCTTTGAGAATTCTTGAGAAGAAGATTTTTAAAGAAATTTCCTATATATTTCTATGTAAAACTTTGGTCGGCCATTTTATCCCCGCCCTACCCCCGGAGTCATGATTTGAACAAACTTGAATCTCCACTACCTGAGGATGCTTCCATATAAATATGATCAATTATGGCTTTGCTATTCTTGAGAAGAAGATTTTTAAAGAATTTTCCTATATATTTCTGTGTAAAACTTTGGTCGGCCATTGTGGCCCAGCCCTACCCCCGGGGGTCATGCTTTGAACAAACTTGAATCTACACTACCTGAGGATGCTTTCTTGTAAATATGATCAATTATGGCTGTGCTATTCTTGAGAAGAAGATTTTTAAAGAATTTTCCTACATATTTCAGTGTAAAACTTTGGTCGGCCATTGTGGCCCCACCCTACCACCTGGGGGTCATGATTTGAACAAACTTGAATCTACACTACCTGAGGATGCTTTCATATAAATATGATCAATTATGGCTTTGAGAATTCTTGAGAAGAAGATTTTTAAAGAATTTTCCTATATATTTCTATGTAAAACTTTGGTCGGCCATTGTGGCCCTGCCCAACCCCCCGGGGTCATGATTTGAAAAAATTTGAATCTACACTACCTGAGGATGCTTCCATATAAATATGATCAATTATGGCTATACTATTCTTGAGAAGAAGATTTTTTAAGAATTTTCCTATAATATTTCTATTTAAAACTTTGGTCGGCCATTGTGGCCCCGCCCTACCCCCGGGGGTTATTTGAAAAAAATTGAATATACACTACCTGAGGATGCTTCCATTTAAATATGATCAATTATGGCTTTGCAATTCTTGAGGAAGAAGATTTTTTAAAGAATTTTCCTATATATTTCTATGTAAAACTTTGGTCGGCCATTGTGGCCCCGCCCTACCCTGGGGGGTCATGATTTGAACAAATTTGAATCTACACTACCTGAGGATGCTTCCATATAAATATGATCAATTATGGCTTTGTTATTCTTGAGAAGAAGATTTTTAAAGAATTTTCTGAAATATTTCTATGTAAAAGTTTGGTCGCCCATTTTGGTCCCGCCCTACCACGGGGGGTCATGATTTGAACAAACTTGAATCTACACTTCCTGACAGAGGATGTTTACCTATAAGTTTCATCTTTCCTGGCACAGTGGTTCTTGAGAAGAAGATTTTTAAAACATACCACCAAATTTTCATTAATTCCCAATTATCTCCCCTTGAATAAGGGCGTGGCCCTTCATTTGAACAAACTTGAATCCCCTTCACCCAAGGATGCTTTGTGGCAAGTTTGGTTGAAATTGGCCCAGCGGTTCTTGAGAAGAAGTCGAAAATATGAAAAGTTTACAGACGGACAGACAGACGGACGCTGGACAAAATGTGATCAGAAAAGCTTACTTGAGCCTTTGGCTCAGGTGAGCTAAAAACATTAATTTTTTAGAAAATGTTTGTGCAATCAAGAAATTCGGTTACTTTTTATAAAGACTACGACGTTTCTTTCGTTTTCAAGTACCCTGTAATTGAAAGTAGATTTGTAAATATGCATAGTTGAGCTTGATAAAATCATCAAATGCATCACTGCTTAACATCATTATCTTTCTATAACATTTAATAAATTTTAAAAGCCATAAATATTAGGGCTGGGACGATATATCGAGATATCTTTGAGGACGATACACATATCGATACATATGAAGAAATATCGAAATATCGCCCCCAAAAAATCTTACTTCTGTTTTTCTTTGTTTATTTAACATCTGGCCTGGGGTCTAATATATAAAATAAATAAGCTAAATATAACTAGTGCTAATTGTAACGGGGACCGTTACAGATGTTCCCCAAACGCTCCCAAAATCCCTTTTTGTGCCTTATTCCTATAATATGTTTTTTTATTTGCTCAGTGTCAACGGATTCTATTTAAGAATATAAAAATTACAATGATATCAACTATAAATCATTTAACGTTTCACATGCGCGCGCACACGCATGCATATGCAAGATAATCATGGCATGATGGCTGAAGAATTCCTGATAATCAAAAGAAATAATACAGATATAAATGTTACTATTTTTCAAGTATTTTAGTCATTTTACGCATTGCGCATGTGCTTGCATGTCCATGCTTTTAATTTTGATAGTAGCATAATGTAGGAATCTGTTATACCTATTCATATTCTAAATTTTATCATGATTTATTGAGAATTAAGAAAGTTATAGGCATTTAAAGTTTAAGCCAATCAAATGGCAGCGCTCGTGCATGCACGTGCTTTCCTGAAAATTCTTGTATATCATGTTGTAGAACCTTCTAATGTATGACTATATTTAAAATTTCAAAGTATTTTGTCAAAAAACAAGAAAGATATTGAGACTTTAGTTTCAGCCAATCAGAGCGAAGCGCATGTGCACGCGCGTGAGTTCTTGATAATTTGACCATATCCTGTTGTCTATAGTACTAATATATACTTATATTATTAATTTTAAAACATTTCATCAAAAAATAGAAAAGTTACGGCTTCATCTATTATATTGGTCATTTCACGTGTTGCACGTGCGCGCTCTTGCAAGCACGTGCGCGCAAAATGACCTTGATTCCACAAATCTACATAACATGTCTACTTACCCTAAAAAGATTTTACCTACATCGGATGAACGGTTTACAAGATCATTCGCGGACAAATAAGTGCCCAGGAAGAAGAAAAATAATAATAAGAAACAGAGTAAAAACAATATGTTCCCCAACTTCGTTTGGGGAACATAAATATAGATATGAAATACATAATAAATAACACCACTTAATAAAATATTTTTGTTTTACAACATATAAACAACTATTTTGAATAAATTATTCTTATTTGAAAAGAAATAATTTGTTTATTTCAAAGCAAAAAAACATTTTATAAGCAATTAAACATTTCGTGATACATATCGTATCGTGGCTCAAATATCGTGATACGTATCGATATAGAAAAAGTTGTATCATCCCAGCCCTAATAAATATCGTTCATTATTCAGGCACGTTTGTATACAGAAACAACCTGTCCCACCTCAATGCTGAAATGGATACTTTTTGCACCTCTATCGTAGGCGAGTTACAATCTCGAAACTTGCGTATTAGAAAACTAAAAATATTAAAGTAACTTGATTTCTTCATAAAGCTATAGACATGGTGCTACATGCAGGCTGAGGAAGCAAGACTTAGAGAGAGAAGGGCAGGGGATGGATCTTGCACTTGAATTAATGGAATAAAGTTAATATGAGGAAAAACTGTCAAGTTTTGGGGTTTTTTATGCAATAAGGTGTCTAGAATCAATAAGTAAAAGGTAGTTGATTCACCAATACTGGAAAGTGGAGAAACTCTCCCACACAATGTGCAAAAAATCTTGCGCAGTAAATTGCACATTTTATGCACTACGTGATCTGTAGCATTATGGTCAAAAAATAAAATATAAATCTATAACGCTAGAATTCTGTATTTAATTGTAGGCTAAAAATCAAGATGAAGTAGCTGAACTGAAAAATTCAAGTTGGCGACCGTAAAAAACTTTGCATGCAGAATTTTTTATTTATGAAAAGAAAGTTGAGAAATGTCTGTCTATGCTTAATAAGTGTTTCTATTTTACTTGTTGGGAATTTTTTTTTTTAAGGAAGCAAGAGACAAAACCATTATTTTGTTTTATAGTCACAAGCTTGATTGTCCATTTTCTATTAAATTCTGTATATGATGTATCATTTTAATTCAATATGTATATTCATATGTTGGATTTGGGATTGAACCATGTATAAGTCAGCTTATATTAGTGCCTTTCTTTAATCTGATGCTGCAGACTCAGCAGAGATCAGATGTGTAATACTAATAGTTATGCCATGCTTGGATTTGAGTTCATCTTACCCTTGCATATATTGAGAGAAATATATATAATACATGTACATGTATAATTAAACAAAAAAATATTGAATGGTAAAAAAATTATTGAACAGATAATCTATTGTAAAGCAAAAAAAAAAATCCAATAAGCTCTAGCTCTGTGTAACTCCCACCCTCCACCCCACTGCCAAAAAAAAATTATAAATTTAATATTATCAATTAAACATGTTAAAGCATTGAATACAAGATAAAAGACTGGATCAATGATCAATGACTTTTGAAAAATTAGAAAAAAAATAAAGGCATCAAAAATTCACATTTAATGGGATAAACACATGTATCTAGCAACAGCTGTATACATGGTATAAGAGTTGCCTTTCCTTCATTTTTTTCCCCAATATATAAAGTTACATAATTCTATTTCACTTATTACTTAAAATACTTTTAAGCCATTGATATTTTTAAACATTACTGTATTATTTTAGAAGAACAAATTTTAACTGAAGACCAACACCTAAAAAATAATTTCTTAAACAATATTCAACATGAACAAAAACCGTCAAGGACGACAACTCACCATGATCGGAATCATCGCTGCTTTCGTCTGATTCGTTGGGACTAGAACATCGAGATCGTCTTCCATTCCTAATATCAACAAGATTTTTCTCGGCCATAACCATCATAAAACGGGTTATTAAAGTTGACCACAAAAAGAAAAAGATCCGTTCCCCACTTTGTCTCTGAAAAAGTGTTGGTTCGTCTGAGGCACCTTACTAATTCTTCCGGCAATGACAAAATAGAACCATATCCGCTGTGCCAAAAACTCATTATTCTTTCGTTAAGAAATATATAAATGAAAAAATTAATCTGATAATACAGTTAGAAATGTTATGATATTTGATAATTTGCAAATAAAACAGAATTGTTTAATCTTTGACAAATATTGTATCCATCCGCCAAAACAAGTCCGAACTAATTTTGTTAATATCGTATAATTTCGACATTATATTGTTGAAAGTACCCGCCGTGCTTCCATATGTATAAATTTTCATTCTCTCAAAAATTTAAGAGAGATTCTAGAAATTTTTAGGAGAGAACATAAAAAAATGTATCTTAAGAATCACAAATGTGTATTTTACTGTCTTTTAATCCGTGGTAAAGAATTCTGAGGGCCTTGTTTTTTTACTGCATCGTTCATAGATTTTTCATAAAAAATACAATGTAGAAAGATTTTCTTTATATCGTGTGTTAAGTATAAAGAATATATGCGTTTGAAAGATTCCTGTAATGAAAAAGTTTCAATTAAATCTCTTCAGTGAATTTTTTTGTCAATTACCTTAATTTGTGCCCCGTTTGGGCTACCGTAGTAATCCTCTCGCTCGTTATTGTTACCCCCCCCCCCCCCCCCCCATGTATTGAGAGAGATTTTTTTTTCTTTTATTGAAATCTTAATACTAAACTGGTCTGCTAAATGAAGGGTCAATATTCCTGATAAATTTGTAATGTACTGAACGGCGGACGACCGACACGTGTAACGTGTGCACGATCAGATTATCGGGCAACGTAAACGGATGTTTCCATTCCAGAGTGTAGTAATCCCGTGTCATGCGTCACCATTGTTTTCTTGTTTTCCTTTTTGATCGTCTTATCTAATCTTGACATATAAAATATATCCGCTGTTAATCATGATGGCAAAGGCACCTGATTCCTGAAGAGCCTGACAACATTAATAACTGATCTTAAGTAATCAATGGTAATAATTAGGCCTATATATATGTTCTTTTATAATCATATGGTATATATGGTATATATCATTTAAGATGGATCATCCTCTGTTTACCGAACATAAATTAAATTTGACCCCCCCCCTCTAATTTATACATACTTTCAAGAAGTAATTAATATAATATATGCACATCACGATTTCAGACGCATACAAAAAACACGTGGTCTTTAACAATTTTATGAAGGAATAATAGAAATTAAAGTTTGAATGAACTGTTTTGTTATATACATTTATAGACTAAGATGTATACCTGAATATATACGTATTTATTTCTATAAGGAAAAAAATTATAGCAAATAATCTCTTGAGTATTTTAGAGCTAAGGTATAATATCCATGCTAGTTCAAATCGCTTACTGTAGTATTTTCATTTAATATGAACGGCTGGAAAAAGGGAGACAATGATAAAGGAGAAAGGGTTCATTTCCCTAATGGAGATTTGTAGGCACGAAGTATCGAAGTAGGGGGGGGGGGGGCTACCCGGTACTTTTCCCAAACATCTTATTTTAATCGTATCGCCCAAACATGATCAAAAAAAAGTTTGGCTGTGTATGTAAGGGAACCTATAACACACTCCCCCACACGGAAAGAAATTAAAATTTTTGTCAATGTTTTCCTTGCTGTCAAAACGATATTACGTCCCTAGCTGATACTACAGAATAATGACATAATGATATTCAAAGTAATAATTGTTGTCTTTCTTATCTGTCAAAGAAAAATTTCAACAAAAAATACACATATAAACAGACCGTTAAGTCAGAAAGACTCCTACGAAAATTATGAGGATTTTTTTTCAATTGTCATTAGAAATATTGTCATGTTCTAAATTTTGAATTTACGAAGTGGGAGTAAATAAAAAAAATTAGAACATGACAACTTTCTAAATTTTTAATTTACTCCCACCCGGTAAATTCAAAATTTAGAACATGACAATATACACTTTAAGGGTGAGATCAAACTCCAAGGTAAAAAAATCAAAGTTGTTGGCAAACAAATATCTTGTCACAAGGAATACATCTGTGAAATATGAAGGCCTTAGGAGTACTAGGTGTTCAAAAATTATGACCAAGGTTATTTTTTTTTAAGTTGGACTAACTCTAGGGTCAAAAAGGTCAAAAATAGTTTCATCCTTGGAAGGATCTTGTCAGAATATTTAAAAACAACTGTTAAGTACTGTATGAAAGTCCTTGCATCGACTGTTCAAAAGTTGTGACCAGGGTTAAAGTTTGATTTTTTTTAATTATTTTTTTTTTTGTTGGTTGCAAAAGTGGGTCAAACTCCAAGGTCAAAAGGTCGAATTTGTTAGCATAAAAAAAGACTTGACACAAGAAATACACATGTGAAATATGAAAGACATAGCGCTTACCAATCAAAAGTTATGGGCAAGGTTAAAGTTTTTGCGGACATATGGGAAGACTTTGTCTTAATAGCGAACAGCTATACATACGTAAAAAAAAAAACAGATTGAACAAGCAAATTCAAAAAATTGTGGTTCCCCGATTTCGGTGTCTTTGTGGATGAAATGTAATTATTATGGCAGATTGTGTCAGGCACGTAGCATCGTTTTTGAAAGTGGGAGGGGGGGGGGGGGCAGGCAGAGAAATTTTTTTTTTACTTGCCTGAACAAGTTGACAAGCAAAAAAAAAAAATAATAATAAAATAAAAATTGACCAAAGTCGAAAATCCTATTTCGTGGGGGGAGGGGGGGGGGGTGTAGAGGCCAACTTTTTCTCAGTGTCAACTACTTTCAGTACCAATTTTTTTTAACTACATTTTCCGTACATCACTAATTGAATATTTATTCAACCAATTTGGGCCCACAGTGGAGCATACAGAACAGTGTCCAAAATCATCACAGTTATACATATACAAAACAGAACAAAACAAACATTGTGTAATGAACAGAGAGTTAGTTATCTTCTTTTAGGATGTATAGAATGTACATTATAAGTGGCCTATGTATAATATCTGCAATATGCCTATATTGAACTATGTTGTTTTCTCTTATTAAAATTTGCATTTAAAAGTTGGCATAATAAAACAACAAACTCAGAATCTTCATTTGACATAATCCATGTAAACAGGTCAACATTGTTAAGCAGTATCAAATTAGGAAAGGTTTTAAAGATTTTATCTAAAAACTCTCTTCTTGAGTCATTATAAAGTGGACATTCTAGCAAAAAATGCAATTCATCCTCAGTTGGACTTGAGGTGCAGTAACGACAGATTCTCTCACGCCTGGGAAGAATTTCATTTTTACCACATTTATTAAGTTTCCTTTCATATCTACCCGTTTCTACCCTTAAACAATGATTACTAATTCTGAATTTTGTGAGAATTACCCGATTGTCTCGGTTTTTCATATTCAAGTATTTTTCAAAATAAAAAGACCTTTTATACTTAAAATATGTATTTAATTTACCAAAGCCTTCCAAATAATTGGTACGAATATCGTTCCAAATGTTTAAAAAACTATTATTGAGTTGTCTTTTCATGTACAATTTAAATTTGTTTTCACTTAGTTTTTTACAAAGGGACAAATTAATATTAAGTTTTTCACTGTAGAATAATATACTGGAGTACCAGTCACTGTTGATGATGTTTGATTTGCACTCATTGAGAGCTGCTTTCAGTAGGTTAGATGATGCATGTTCTAGTCTATACCAGTACATGAATATTTGTTTAACATGTCTATATATAATGGGTACCTCCCTAGTTCAGAATAGATTCCTACATTTGTACAAGATTTAGATACACCCATAATGTATTTACAGAATTTCATATTGAGTTTTTCAACTTCCCAATCTTTAAATATATCAAAAAGAGGGATATTTTTCCTTTTTGGAGTAACATTAATAATGCTCCAGTTCTCACAGACATATAAAGCTATAGGTTTAATACAGTGATCAAATATATGTAAAAATGTTTTTAAGGAGGGGTTAGCATTTTTCACATCCCTATAGAATTTAAAGCATGCCTTTAAACTTTTCTGATACAGTTGTTTTTTGGCTTCAGTAAACTTTCCATTGTTTTCAAGAGCTATCCCTAAATATTTATATTGTTTTACACATTCTATAATGTCATTACTAAGTTGGAATGCTTCTTTCAGTAATTTACGAGAGTTATTAAAAATTATTACCTTTGTTTTTTTTATGTTTACTTCTAGACACCACTCACTACAGTAATCATGGAGAAGATTGAGTTTACATTGGAGATCTTATTTTGAATTGGACAATAAAACAAGGTCATCTGCATACAGGAGACATGAAATCATTTCTTTATCTAGAGTAACAGAAACAGAATTATGATCCAAAATACTTGGGAGGTCATTTATAAAGAGTTTAAACAAATTTGGACTAAGGACATCCCCTTGTCTGACCCCAATAGACTAATATTGGGGGGGGGGGGGCAACTAAACTTTCAATTAACATTTTCTATAGTATATGTAAGGTTGGGAAAAAAAAAGTGGAGGGGGGCAGGCCCCCCCCCCCCCCCCCCCTGTTGCTACGTCCCTGTGTGTCAAATATGAACGCCCTTTCCTATGTCATTCAGAAGTTATCACCGAAGTTGATTTTTATATATAAAAACAAGATGTGTTTGTGAAACACTATGCACCCGGCGGCAACAAAGTTCTAAAAAGCAATTTTTAGCAAATAGGTCACAGTAAAGGTATACAATCATTGTCGTTGGTGTCATTTGAAAACACTTAATTAGTGGAGTATGCATACCAAATTTAAAGTCTCTATCTCCTATGGTTCAAAAGTTATGGCGAAAGTTCGAAAAAGCTATTTTTAGCATATATGTTATAGTCAAGGTCACAAGGTCATTGACCTTGGTGTCAGTTGAAAGTGCATAATTAGTGGAGTATGTATACCAAATATGAAGTCTCTATCTCTCATGGTTCAAAAGTAATGGCGAAGGTTAAAGTTGACAATAGACAGACAAACAGACAAACAGATATACAGACAAACAGACAGACAAACAGCAGACAGGACAAAAACAATATACGGCCCGAATAAATTTGGGCGCATAAAAATTAGGTCAGTCGTGAAGGTCAAAGTCAAGGGGTCAGAAATCATAGCATGCTTTGAGATATCTTGTCACAGGAAATGCATATGTCAAATAAAAAAGCCCTATTTCCTTTCAATCAGAATAAGGGAAAATTAATTTTTTTGAAAATTAGGTCAAACTTCAAGGACAAGGTCACGGGGTAAAAAATCATAGCGTATTTAGAAAGGTCTTGTCACAGGTATTATACATGTTTAATATGAAAGCCCTATCTCTTCTCTTTTAAAAGTTATGGCCAATTAAAAATAATGTTTAATTTTTTTTTTGAAGGCAGATTAAACTTCAAGGTCACGGGGTCAAAAATCATAGTGTATTTAGAAAGGTCTCGTCACGGTGATAAACATCTTTAATATCAAAGCCCTATCTCTTCTCTTTCAAAATAATGACCAAGGTTAAAGTTTTTGTCAGACGGACAGACTGACAGATTGACAGACGAATGCAGGAGATTTAATGTCCCCTTGCTTTCGCAAAAGCGGGGGACAACAAAAGGGGGGGGTCAATTTTCATTTCTTACTGAAATTCAGTATAATTTATTACTAAATAACAAAAAGATGCGTTTGTGAAACACTGATCCCCCCCCCCCCCCCCGGTATGGCAACATAGCGAATATTAAACTTTAAATTTTCTTAATGCAAATTAATTATGTTGGAACCAAAAGTCAGGTCTTCTTATAAGAAATACAATTGTGAAATATGAAATCCCTAGCTACATGTAGCACCACCCGTTCAACAGTTATGAATAAAGATAAGTTTTTAAAAAGTAGGTCAAATTCCGAGGTCAAAGGGTCAAAGTTGTATGTATCCAATGAAAGGTCTTGTCACAAGGATTAAATATGTGAAGTATGAAAGTCCTAGGCCTAAACCTTCAAAAGTTATGGTCAAGTTTTGTTTTTAAAAAGTAGGTCAAATTCCAAGGTCAAAGTTAAGGGGGCAAAGTTCTTGGTATTCATTGAAAGATTACAGATGTGAAGTATGACAGCCTTTATATCCCTTAACGTTCAAAAGTTATAGCCGATTAAAGGTTTTTTAAAGTATGTTAATCTCCAAGGTCAAGGTCAAAAGGTCAAAGTTGTTGATATCAAATGGAATGTCACAGGTAATACATATGTGAAGAATGAAAGTTCTAGTATCTAACGTTCGAAAGTTATAGCCAAAGTTAAAGTTTGGAATTTTTGTGTGAAAGTGTGTCAAATTGCAAGGTCAAGAGTTCAAATTTGGTGGTAACCAAAGAATGGTCTTGTCACAAGAAGTATGTACATGTGAAATATGAAAGTCACAGCTCCACTAAATCAAAAGTTATAGGCAAGGTTTCACTCGGCACACCTCGGCCGATTCCTACCTCATCTAATGATCTAATCCCATGATGTAGTCCACGGAATCAGCCGAGGTTTGCTGCCGGAATGGGCAAGGTTTAGGCAAGGTTATTCAAAGTTAACAGACAGACGGACGGACACGACAAAAACTATATACCCCCGAATAATTATGGGGGCATAATAATTCATGGGGGGAAATGAGCGGAAAGCCCTCCATCTGCCATTATACTGCAGTATAAGACAATCCGGATTTTCAAAGTGTTTTTTGAAAGATTCTCTACTTTATTTTCTTAGAGCTACTTCCCTTCTTGAGGAACCCGCGATAAATGCGATAATCATGATGAGTTTTGCCTATTTTATCTCGACCAGAGCACAGATAATTTGATTTTGTAATGAAAATCAAGTAGAACAAGATGTAAAACATCTTTCTAAGATAACCGCTTTCTGTTTGTCATGATATTAGTTTAATTGTTTTTCTTGGATGCGACGATTACCTGCGTAACAAAATGGACGGATCAGGACAGAACTTTGCTTCCTATGGGAGTGGACTTACTCCCCAGCACCAACAGGTAGGCTTAAATATGTTAAATTACATAAAAATAAGCACAGCCACTTGACCATAGCCCTGAGATATAAATCTCTCCTAAGAGGGTTTTCAGGCACTAACTTTACCCAAAAATAATATGTTTTACGGTGTGACCGTTGGGGCGAGCGCAGTTGAACCATCAGAACACTTGAAAAATGCATTGATCAGACACTTCAAACATCAAGTCGCACGAGACATCTCGACTAGCTGTGACGTCGCACGACATCACGGAGCTCGTCGGAGACCCGAGACCTGGTCTACGAGGTGACCTGACCTGATCGATATATATTTTAGAAATACTTTCAAAATTCTACTCTTCTTACAGTTTTGATCTGATTTCAACATAAATTGAGACTCGAGTAGACTACACTAAGGAACACAATTCTGTTTATAGCTGCCTGTTGCAAAGTTTCAATTCCTGTTCAGGGCTCTCGATTCTCTAAAATTGGGGCCGTTCAACGGCCCCGTTCCCAATGCAAAAAAGGTACCATTTTTCCCAAAAGAAAGGTGTAAATTTCCCAATTTCCATCCAGAGTAAAATATTAATTAAAAACTAAAAGTCCATCAAACCTAATCGCAAAAAAACCCCCAAACAAAACACATTTGCAAATGAAAGTGAAACTGTACTACTTTTTTATTAGTTCGCGCCAAATGCATTCGTAAACTGGTTCGGGGAACCAGGTTATTGTTTTTACAAAAATGTATACAACTATGAGTGCAGAGTATCTTGTTATGTAGTTTCGACAAAAACCAGCATTTTGGTTTCAAAAATTGACGTTTCATTTAAACATTAGTAAGCTGCACCTAGAAACATACCCGCGCTTCGGCATGTTCAGTCTCGCGCTGTATTGGTAAGCAAAGTTGCCCATGTGATCGAGGAAATTCGGGACTCTGTGACTAGCGACTGTCACGCAGTAAGACATATAACCGCAATATCAACAATGACAAAGCTAATGTACTTTCATAAATAGCCTACGTACCCATGTTTGTTCTGTTTAACTGTTTATTCAAACCAGAGTTAGGCCATCCTTAAAAAATTGTTTTTTTGCGGTAACGCGACCGACTCACCAAAATCCACCCGACTGGATTTTTTTTATCGGTTCAAAAATCTTCTTTTTTTGAGGCGCATCGTTTTCGATGCAGCCTCATTGCGATCACCTAGCATTTCTTTCTTGTTCACAGCGGCGGCAAAGGACTCAATAATATTGATTCTTAACACGCTATTGAAAATAGTGCCAATGTATATTGACAAGTTGGCGATATCCATAATCTAATTTTAAACAGCAAATAACATAAAATCACACACATAAATGTTGTTTTTACTTTGAATCAATAAAGGTTAAGAAAAACAAACAATTAAAAACAAAGAGAGAAAACATCAACAAACGAAGGAGCTTATCTGCACGTGCACTGCGCGGAGAAAGATCTATTTGCATAAGAACAGCTCGTACTATAAATTATTCGGTTTTGTAAGGTGCAATTATTTGTATTCCTATCAGGAAGCATCACTAACATAATTTTTAAAAAATGTATCACTAGCAATTGAGACATAGAAACAGAATCGTTGTTTTTTTTTTAAATAAAGGGGATGTTATTATTTTTTTACTCGAGTAAACGAATAGTAAGATGTACAGCTGAATAAATTCTTGCACAAGCGCCACCTATCGGGAAAATATTTCCACGAGGTCACAAACAGCGATATGATCGGATATTGGTGAAATGTCAGTTAAATGTGGTGATTGACTAATAAATACTGCAATTACTGTGAATTTCAATTTATAGTGTTTCTAATACCTTATAAACATAGACTTTTTAAAAGTTCAATCCTTACCGCTAAGGTTTCATAGCTAAAATCATATCGAAAATATTGGAGGGATTCGCCGCATTTGAGGGGTTCATAATAAACCGTGTACCAAGCCGGATTGTTTTTATTTAGTCCTGTATTATTTTTATGACCATTTCATGTTTATAACTATTGTGCCATTTTGATTGAGAAAAAGAAGTTAAAAACAAAGTTTTGATATTTATAAAAGTGCACATAATGAAAGAAACTGAAATAATTCAGATATGAAATTATGTAGAATTATTCAATAATCATAACTTCACAGTTATTTCTATAATGTCATTCATTATTTCATCTCCGATTCCTACTATGCTAATAGTCAAAGAATAAAATTAAAAAAAAAATTAAAAATAATGAATTAATTAAATATCAATTAATCATAATTGATATAACAGACTATTTTTTTTTCACCCTCCTGATCGACTGGCTAAAAATGCCATGGCTCAATTGTTCGAACCTCAAAGAAACCTTACTTAATTTTTTTTTATCCTTATAACTGGTTTATTTCATTCCCTTAACATTTACGTTGAATTTTTCTAAGAAGAAAAAGTTTTATACCCTCACTGCGATGCGCCTCTCAGGCCATCAGGCCTTTGATTTTTTTTTTTTACGTATCCATTTTCCGTTTTTATCCGATTGATTTTTTTTACGTATCGGTTACACCGACGCTTTATCTTTCCCCCAAGTACTATTAAAACGTCTTTGTGATCTACAAATTTAGAGATGGCGTCCTAGAAGGTTGCGGGAAATATTGACTCTATAGTTCTGTCAGTTACAGTAAATTTATCTTAATTACTAGGCAGAAAAAAATATTGTGCGTCAGTTCCACCTTACAGATACATGGTATGATGTTTACGAGATCGCCACAAAATTGGTGGCAGACAAAATTCCACGTGGGATGATTGCGGATTTGCAGCTAATTAATAAACTATCAAAATCTTAAACCTTGTAAATATCACACCCCCGAAACACTAGATTAATGTGGAGTCAGTTATTTGAGGTACGTGGCTGATGAGAGTCACTTTCTTAGAAAAAGTTTGCCTAAAAAGAACTGATGTGTTCTGATATTTGAGCAATAAAAGATTGAATTCATTTAGAATGCTTTAATTTTCCTGTTTGATAAGTACGGTGAAAATTGAGACATAGTAAATACCTCTATATCATCGAAATTTATTTCTGACATTTTGTCTCAAAAAAAAAAAAAAAAAAGCCTACCTACCTACTCACACCTAAAATGATGAGGCGCGTTACCGCAAAAAATAAATTTTTTAAGGATGGCCTTAGCATTGATGATAAAATGCTAGAAAAGCAAAATTTGAGGATTTTTTTTTAAAATGAATTTGTGTTATCCAACTTTTCCCAAAATGACGATAATTTTCCCAATTTGAACGGCCCCGGCCCCAGTCCCAAAAAGTGGTGTGAGAGCCCTGCTGTTACAGGGAATAATCTAGGGCATAGTTACTACCGATATTCGGTGTTTTTCCCCTAGAGAAAATTTCCCCTGAAGATCTAATTTTCCCCTTTTGATGAGTAAAATATTCCCCTTACAATAATAAAAACCTCAAAAAAAATTTCCCTTATAAAAACTGAAAATTTAAAGTAAAATTTGTCAGTACACTGTATATGAGAAATATGGTTTTACTTTGCTACTTTATGCGCTTTAAATGGCCATAAAATGCTGAAATTCAATTGGCCCCCAAGCAGGGCTTGCTCTGCACTTGCTCAAGTGGTTCCCAGACCCCTACTGATTTTCCCAATTTCTCCAGAAAGGGTAGTTTCCCCCAAAAACCTAAATTAATCCCTGTGTTAATTGCTTTCTGTTGCAAAGTTTCAATTCCAAGTGCTACTTTTCTTTTGTTATACGTACAGACCATTAGAGCTATAGTATCACCAGAGACTTCTGGTTAGTAAGTGCACTGAGTTAGAGTTATCTCCTGTGTTCATTTTGCTATATTGGCTATACACGGAATGAATTTTATCATTAAACAAGGTCCATATAACAATTTTATTTTAAAGATAGAACATTCTATATAATGAACTCCCAGCATGTGACAGTCAACACTAACATTCTAATATCTTTTTCAGTTTTTGGCAAGTTTTACAGATAGCCCCCAATATATAAAATACTAGCAAATTTCGAAAACCAACATGACCATAAGAGTTGGCCCCCTCTTCAAGAAAAATATTCAATTAAAGTAAAAATAATCGGATTAATAATCCCACAGTTTTCTTTAAAGCATCATGTTCAGAGAAAATTCATTTACACACAATATTCATTTATATGCAGAGTTTGGGAGGGGTTGTTGTTGTGGTTTATGGCAGTTAGTTGTAACTACATTCTGTTGGCCCACACATCACAAATAGTTGTAGAAGCTGTGACCTTAGAGTTAGGACTTCAAAAACAAAAGAAATGTTTATCACAGAGTGTCTGCAGCAGGAATTCATCCATTATATAGATTATACATGTTTGTTTGCCTTTGATCCTTTTATTTATTTCTATATTAAGTATAAAATTATTGTTTTGTTGTTTTACAGCCAGGAGAATTACATGTACTTTTAAAGTACATGTAATTCTATATTCATATTTATACCCCACCAATGCGTTACCATAACCAAAGAGATTTAATAAAAATGTTCAGTGCAGATTCATTCCTCTACTTTGAACTTTTAGCTGTGTCATTTATAGGATGTGACTGTGTTAGTGATATTTTTCAGAGTCCAATGATGTCACCTGCAGCTTTGAGCAGTTTTTCTCTTGGAGCCACTCCAAATCCAGTAATGCCACCATCAAATGCAAGTTTGTACCCCCCTCAGACCCCAGTGGCTCCTATGACACCAGGAGTACCTGTCACCCCCGGAGGACCCCCAATAACTCCAGGAGGTCCCATGACACCAGCAACCCCAGCATCAGAGGGCGGAGCTGGAATGGTCCCCCTTAGACCTCAGTTACAGTATGTCATTTATCTTCAACAGTGTCATTATCAGTTTTGTTCATACTCCTACACATTTGATGAATATTTCTTATGAGCAAAATGATTATATTTGAATAATTGCTCCATTCATATTTCTCAATAAATAAAGAAAAATTTATAATCTTTAACATCAAAGTAACAAAATTATTCTAAAGTAACCCAGAATGATTCTAAAGATATGCTTGTTTGTATATTGAATGAAATATAAAAGTAAAAGAAGACTTCTATACAGAAATATATTTCTTTCAGAAATATTGTATGCACTGTAAATCTTGGATGTAAATTGGATCTGAAGAAAATTGCTCTTCATGCAAGAAATGCAGAATACAATCCAAAACGTTTTGCTGCTGTTATTATGAGGATACGAGAACCTAGGACTACAGCACTGATCTTTAGTTCAGGGAAAATGGTCTGCACTGGAGCTAAAAGGTGTGTTTCACAGCACTTTTTTCCACGTAGTATAAAGTGTATATGTCAATTATATAACTAATAACATGTATCTTTTGGAAGGTGAGAAGTTGATAAATTTTGGTATACTTCTTGCTTGATTGTGATCTTGGTACTAGAATTTCTTTCTAAAAACCTCCTGTAGATTTAGTTAGATTGCTTTAAAACTTACCAAACAAAGAAACTAAACCAAGGATCATTATTCTATTTATTGATGATGTCTTAGTTTCAAGTTCTTTGTTTCACGTATATACATGTATCAGTAGAGTTGCAGTCTCATCAGAGATCTCTGCTTTCTATTGAACAGTGAAGATCAGGCAAAACTGGCAGCAAGAAAGTATGCAAGAATTGTTCAGAAGCTAGGATTTGCTGTAAGTATTCAAGTTAATGGCAGATTTGTAGATTTTGTTGATTTCACTGGTGTTGTTTGTTCAATTAGAAAATAACAAGTTGTTAGTAGGATACCTAGTAAAAATACAAATTCTGTAAAAACTACACCATCGCCTCTGTTAAATCACACTGTGAACAATTCTGAATTTTACAACACCTACCCCCCCCCCCCCCCCCCAAACAAAAAAAAGAACCTCTACACCTACAGTGGTTGTTTTGAGGATTATGAAAGGAAGACAACTCAAGCACTGGAGTCAAGTCATTCAAAAGCAAGATCATTGAGAACAGTTATAACAGCAATTTTCTAAAATGATGTAATCTTATGATAAAAACTGATTTTCTCTTTTATTGATGTCGAGGAACACTGCATCATATGCAATTTCATTATCATTAAAATTTCAAAGGCAGACCCGGCAGAGTATTGATAATGTTAAAGGATGTATTCGCTTTGACAAAAGAATTGACCTATAGGAGAGAACAACAAATGACATTTAAATATTAAAATGAAATATGTGTAAACTTTTCAAATTTGTATTTTACACCTAAAATTTTTTATTTACAACTTTACAATAAACCTCCAAAATTGGCTACCTTGGCATTTTTGCAAAGAGAGCACAAATATGAAATTTTCTTTTTGTGTACTGGTCATTGTCCTCCCCTGGCACTGGTATCAACACTTGAGAACTAAATCTTTAGTTAAAAAATGGATATCAATATCATCAGGACTGCATTTGAACTATTCTTACTTCGTTGACATATCTATTTATGTTCAAGAAACTCAAGATATTAAATCTGATTCTTTACAGGCAAAGTTTTTGGATTTCAAGATTCAGAACATGGTTGGAAGCTGTGATGTAAAATTTCCTATTAGATTAGAGGGCTTGGTCTTGACCCATGGTCAGTTCTCCAGGTGAGATCATTAAGGATTTATATTCATCAGGGTATTTGGAATGTTGCTCCCTTTTCTCAATTTCTTTTACAATTATTTATTTTAGTGACTTTTAAGTGATATTGAGTATGTTTGATCTTTACAGCTATGAGCCTGAATTATTCCCAGGACTGATATACAGAATGGTGAAGCCCCGTATCGTGTTACTTATTTTTGTCTCAGGAAAAGTTGTACTTACAGGTCAGACTCAACAAATATTTCTTTAACCTTTATATCAATTGTCATGGACATTATTCTTCTCTAAAGCATAGTCATTATTTTTATCATTCTTATAATGCTGAATTGAACATTGAATTCTTTGCATACTATAACTGAATTAATATTTAATTTTTTTTTTAACTGAATTCAGTTTAATCTAAAAAATACCTTCATTAGGGCCCCGCAAGGATTTGCGGGTGCCCTATAGTAATCACTCTGTCTGTCCGTCCGTCTGTCTGTCTGTCCGTCTGTCACTCTTCCGTCCACAAATTTTCTGTTTTTTTCTAATAACTTTTTTTATAGTAGCCCAATCAAGTTCAAATTTGGTATGGTAGTTCAGTAGGCAGAAATGCATATTTTGATGCTAAGTTTGCTTCTCTATGTCTTCTGGTTTGGAGCTGGGGTGGTGGGGTAGATTCCTTAAAATGAATGAAATTTTTATGGTTGCCCAATCAAGTACAAATTTGGATGGAGCACAAATAGGCAGAAATACATATTTTGATGCTAAGTTTGGTTCTCTATGTCCCCTGGTTTGGAGCTGGGGTGGTGGGTAGATTCCTTAACTTTATATACAAAAGCAGTGGCAAAGAGAGATAACTGCTGAAGATGTTGCCATTGTAAACTGAATGCTTCTATGAGTCCCTTGGGATTAATTAGCTTTCCTCCTGAAGAAAATCCAGAGCATTATCTTTATCTGTCAAATTGAGATGAATTACCACCTCTGTCTGCAAATGAAGTTTGTTTTGAAGTTAAGTCAATTTGAAATGCTATGAACACTCTGAAATGTGGATTTAAATATAAATATTTATAATTTATTTTTGTTTAAAAGTTATGATTTCTTTGAATTCTAATAACAAGAAATAGATTAAAGAAGATTTTTTGATTTACTTTTTTCACTTTATGTTAATTCAAGAATATTATTAATTTTTAGGATAGTTGTATAAAAACACCATTTTATCATTAATACTGAAAAAGTTCTTATTGTAACTTAAGAAGAAAATGATGAGAGGTACAATTAATCCCTTGGGATTAATTATCTAGCCTGCTGCAGAAAATTCAGTAGGCTTATCTTTATCTGTCACTTTAAGATTAATGAAACCCCTTGTCTGCAACTGCTGTTTGTTTGAAGTTAAGGTCAAGCCTTCATGATACATGTATTTGCATTCATTGAAGGCTGGCATTTTATATAACACATGCTTCATAATCATGATAATTGTTTAAATATACATTCAATGTTAAGTTGTTTTTTACTGCCTAATGTAAATACAAGGATATTATTTTCAGGTTTTTGAATATTCAGGAATTATCTTGAAATTTTAAGAATACAGTTGCTGTTGCTTATTCTTCGTGCATTTTTTAATCATTCTGTAAGCTGCACCCTATTAATTCTACCCCATGGCGGGGCCCTTGCTGACTGGTCAGTTTTCTAGTTATCTATTGATCTTTTCGTATTTTTCAGGAGCCAAAGTCCGTGGAGAGATTTATGAAGCTTTTGACAATATTTATCCTATTCTGAAAGGGTTCAAGAAACAGTAAATGTGTGTATCCGACATTTCATGAGAGAGTGGAAGGAGTGTAATGGGTAAATGAACTGTGTAAAAGTTCTAGAAGCTTGAGTTAAATGTTGTACATAATCAGTAATCAATGAAAGGAGTGTACATGTATCTAGTAAGAGATAAACCTATACTAAAGTCATGTTTATATGTAAAAGGTTCCTGTCAAACTACTGTATTATAGTAAATTTACGTTTTGTAATAAAGTGATTTGAAAATCTTTTTTTTTTTTGTATGTTTATGCTCCCATTATGCAACTTGATATTTCAAGTGATTTTATGTATATTGCAGTTTAGAACACTGATTTATGTTGGGTATTGCCCAATTTTAATAGTGTTGTATCTCTTTGTGAGATTCTTGAGGATTTGTAAAGTTAATCTTTTGTTTATATGTGAGTGCCTGTATTGTAACCATTAGAAAAACATATACATGTGTACTGGTGCTTGAAACATTATTTAGTATGAAGCAACCATGGCTAAATGTAATTAATTTGTACGTCTGCTGTCAAGATTCTTAACTATGCCAAAATGAGAGTGATGAGATAAGAAATAAATAATTTAAAGAAAAAAAAAACAAATAATAAATAATGATAGTGTTTGGATTGATGGATTCACTTAGGTTGCAAATACTGTAAGTCATTTTAATTCCACAGTGTTAAAATTTCACAATTTCTCAAAAAGTACCAATTGCAAGAAATGAATAATTAAAATTTTTGTATAAGCAACTAAACTTTTTAAAAATTAATGATAGCATTCACAATGGGTTTTATTTTGCAGAAAATGATGAATCACGAACATAGTGAAATTAACGCCATTGTGGTTATTTGCCAATCTACAGTATTCGGAATTAAAATTGGATCTTCCATTAAAAAGGAAATGCAATGTAGTACAACTCCCTTTGGGCTCCACCCCCCTATAGTCATATAGTACTAATGCATTTTCATAATTTTAAATCCGCTTTTTAAATAAGCAAACAGTGTTGAAAGGTCATTTAAATTTGAACAGAGTACCATCATTTAAAGGAGGCCTAGAATAAAATTATATCAGCTAATTCACCTTGGGCAGAAAGTGTACTGGGTTATAAAGAGAGGTGACCTTTGATTAAATGGATATGGCCAAATACTGGTAAGACAAAACCATGTCTAGTTCATACTTTAAAATTATTTGGTCTACAGTCTTCA